TTTTCAAAGTGGCTGACTAGACTGAATGGAGAGTCAAATAGAGTGGGAATGGAAGCAATAGAACTGGGTAACAGAGGAGCCCAAGAGATTGGAACACAGGGAAATAAAGAGCTGATTCTCTCTTGGTTAAGCAGTTAAGGAGCTGGAAGTATAATTGGTGTTGCTTAGAGAGGAAAATTAGTGTCTTTTGATTTTAGAGGTGGAGCAGTTTAAAAAATTACGAGGAGCCAAAATATGGCCCTGCCTGTATGATGCTTTGTGTAGAATTTAGATGGAGGTTACTGGAGTAGATGGGTTACATTTATATGGTAAAAGGGTTATAATTGTGAATGACTATCATAGGATAAGTGTCATCAGGTAATGAGTTCCAGAGGAAGGTGATGGATTGGGGAAGAAAAGAAGCAAATTATGTGATCCAGATGCTGAAGTCATTAAGGACAATTTTTTCTTTTCTTTTTTAATTTGTACTTTTTTATTGAATTTATTGGGGTGACATTGGTTAATACAATTATATAGGTTTCAGGTGTATAATTCTATAATATGTCATCTGTACATTGTACTGTGTGTTCACCACCTCAAGTCTCCTTCTATCACCATTCCCTCTCCCCCCCGAAATTATCAATATATCAGGATGGAGAAAGTGATAACAAGTACTAAAGTGAGAGTGTATACTGTAGTTTGGATCATGTACTCTGGAGCCAGGCTGCTTGGGATCAGATCCAAGTTCTACCACCTGCTGAGTGGCCTTGCAGAAATTACTTGACTTTTCTGTGCCTCAGTATCTTTATATATAAATGAGATAAAAAATAGTATCACTTCATAGAGTTGTTTATTTAGACAATTAAATGAATTAATATATAAAGTGCTTCAAATAATATCTAGCACAATATGAAAGTTAGGCTATAATTCTATGTAGTATATGTATAGTATATTAGAAGACAGACTTGAAAAGGGAGGAGGTAGTTGAGAAATCATAAAACATGCTATTTTTTTTACCCTTTGAGTCTGAGAAATAAAGTAGGGATTTAAAGGGAATTACCAATGGTTGAATGTTAGGTTTTCATATTGAGAGCAGATAGAATTGTTTTTAGAAAAACTAGGAGTTATTGGATAACTTGTTCATATCAGAACAGTGGCTCTATAGATTAGAGTGGCAAGTACTGGAGATACAGTGAGTTTCTTGGATGTAGATTAGTGCTAAACTAACATGAATGGGACAGGAGTAGCAGCAGAGTGACAAGGTGCTTCATTCTAGAGTAGTAATCATGGAAAATCGGAATGGAAGAAGCTAGAGACAGAAGCGGCCAAGTGGAATATACTAGCTAGACTTTTAAGGGAGGAGACTATATGAATTGTTAGAGAATTTGTAGAAGTAACGTTTACATCTCTTTATTCTTACATATAATTTAAAGAAAGTATTTATAAAGCTTGTAAAATACAGAACATTTAGGAAGTAAAATTCACAGTTTTATTCATTTGCCCAACAATGCTACCTGCTGTGTGCCAACCACTGTTCTAAATGCTTGGGATATACTGTAGTGTGCAGAACAGAAAACTCTTTGTGGATCTTATATTTCTATATATTTACGTACCTAAGAATGACAGTTTGTTTTGTTGGGAAAGCTGTACAACACTGGGTGATTCTGGGGAAATTTCCTACTTTTCTTCTTTTTTTCTTTCTATAAATGTTAATCAAATACTTGCTGTGCCAGGCACTGGAGATACAAAGATTGTTAGGCATGGTTCCTGCTGTAGCATTACAGTGGAGAAAACAGAAAATTAAAAAAGCAATTAGAAACAGTGTCTAGAAGCACATACTGTAACAAATATGTTTAAGGTCATGGAAGGTGTTTTTCCCCCTGGAGAGAGAGATGTCTAGACTGAGATTTAAAGAGTGAGTTGGAGTTTTCCAAAAGTAGAGTTGGGGGAGAGGGAGAAAGAATACATCTGGCAGAGAGAACAACATGTTGAAGGACTAGAAAGTGATTTCATTTGGCAAGAATTTAAACTTTGCCCAATTGGATTTGAAGAGAGGTAAGCAGGACCTGGTTTTTGAGGGCTTTGTAAACTTTGTTAGGATAGAGTCCAAACTCTTCAAATGTAATGGGAATGAACGGATACAAACATTTTAAAAAGAAAATTTGTGAGATCACTTTTATGTATTAAAAAGATTATTGGTTGTAGGATGGAGACTGAGTTGAAAGATTGAAGATTAAGGGTTGTTGAAGCAATGCAGTGATAGATTGTGGCGGTTGGGACCAGGGTACTAGTAAGGAACTTTTCAGTGGGTCTGGAAAAGAGAAGACAGATTTGAGAGAAATTTAGGAAGAACTTAAGTTTAAGAATAACTCATGTTTCTGGCTTGTGTTTTGGGATACGTGGTGTCATCATTAACTACAATAGGAACACAGGAGAAACAGGTTTGGAAGGGTGAAGTATTAATTTTTGGACTTTAGTCTGAATTGTCTTTGGAATGCCCCCATGAAAGTATAATAGAGGCAAAAGCATAATATATGCCTGCAGGGAGCTTTGGAATGGGAATGAAGATTTGGGAGGAATCAACATGTACGCAGGTGGAAATTGAAGGGATGAGAGATGGCTTGGGGAAAGCATGAAGGTTGGGAGGAAGGCCTAGTGCAGAACTGGGAGAAAAAGAGTCCGAAAAGTAAGCCAAAGAAGGTCTTAGAGGTAGAACGAAAATCAGGAATGTACTGTCACGTATGCCAAAGTAAGAGTGTTTCAAGAAGAAAAACAAACCCTGGCCAGAGTGGCTCAGTCGTTGGAGTGTTGGCCCATGCACTGAAGGGTCAAGGGGTCACAGGTTCAATCCCCAGTTGGGTCGTGTGGGTGACAGCCAGTCGAGGTGTCTCTCCCACACTGATGTTTCTTTCTCTCTCTCTGCCTTCCTCACACACCTTCCACTCTCTAAAAAAAGAAAAATCAATGGAAAAAATGTCCTCAGGTGAGGATTAACCAAAAAAAAAAAAAAGAAGAAGAAGAAGAAGAAGGAAAACAAATGATAGTTAATTTTCTCTTAGGCAAAATTAGGTAAAGGCCAAACATGTGTCCACTGGATTTAGTACTAAGGAAGTTGTTAGTGATCTTGCTGAGAGAAATTTAGTTAAGAAGTGAGCCTGTGCTGAGAAATTAGTCACAGTGGATGAATGGGAACAACTAAAGTCTTTTAAGTTTGTTCTAGGTATGCAGGCAGAGATCAGTAGTTGGAGTTGGACTTGAGCTTTAGTGGAGAGTTTTAAAGATAAAGAGATTGAACATATTCAACATTTAACTGCAGTAGGAAAGAATGAATAGGAATTGAAAGATTAAAGGAGGATCTATCTTTGTGCAGTTACCAATAAGCAGGTACAGAAAATAAATTTGATTATTCAGTTGAACAATTTTAGGGAGCAGACTTATGCCTAACAAGCACTCAGAAGCTTCATTTACAAATGAGAATACCAGTTTTATAACTATCCTGGGGATTAGGAAATGTCATCTGTTTTGTCTACATGTTCTTTTTTTCTTAGGAAAACCATATACCTGAGAAGCAAAATTGTAATCTGAAAGCCACTTTGTGAGCATGGAATTAGCAAGGGGAGTTAGTTGGATGTTTTTAACGACAGATGAAATCAACCTATAAATGCATCCAGCTTTACTTTAGAGCAGTGGGTCCCTCGTGGACTGATTAGTGGAGTCCTTGGTTAGGGCCTGCTCTCTTTTGGGCAGTGTTCCATGATTGCTGCCGCTTTTTACTCCTCTGACACTCCTTTTTCTCTGTGAAGGCCCTTTTTGTGGCCTATTCTTTTATATTAACCTCACACATTAGATTTTAGACAAATCTTTCTGCCTTTTTTTTTTTTTGAGAGAAATTCTTTTCCTTTTAATGGCTTCCACAACCATTTAATTTATTCTGCAGTTAGGTGTTGATTTTATTAATACAGGTTTGATTTCTGGTGATGCTTTATAGTATCACCTATAGTACTTCTATAAATCAGTCATAAAAATTATATAAATATTTGAGAATTCAGTTATTTTTATGGCTTGTAACATACTGAAGATGTATTGGCATACTGATAAAAAAAAGTATAGCAGTCAATTTTTATATATTTTAAATATATTTTATATATTGTAAAACTAGATAATTTGATAAGGCTAACATTTTTAAAGAAGACAAAGTCCTCCCATGATTTCTTTTAAAATTTTTGTGTATATATTGGATACCATGAGTTTGTGTCTGCCTTCAATAGTTATAAATAACAGTACTGGCTGGTTTGCCTCAGCGGTTAGAGCATTGGCCCTTGGACCAAAGCGTCTCAGATTCGATTCCCTGTCAAGGGCAAGTACCTGGGTTGCAGTTAGATCCCTGGCCCCAATCAGAGTTGTGAGGGAGGTAACCAATCCAAGTGTCTCTCTCACCTCAATGTTTCGCTCTCCCTCTTCCTTCTCCTCTTCCCTCCCTCCCTTCCACTCTATCTAAAAAAATCAATGGAAAAATATCCTCTGGTGAGGATTAACAACAACAACAAATAATAATTATAAGTAACAATATGAGAAATATCCCTGTGATCCAATTTTTGTGCACAACCCAGATTATTGCCTTAAGATACATTCCTAAAAAAGGAATTTAGTCAAAAGGGGAATCGTGTATAGTTATATTCTCATTAACAATGTATGAGCATGCCTGTTTTCATTGTCATTTGTTAGTGGGAATGTATTATTTTTATATATTTGTTAGTTTAGTAGGAATGTGATTGACTTGCTCTTTATTTTTTTGCTATTTAATGTGTTCGTGTGTGTAAATTGCCTTTCATTAGTACTTTTTGTCAGGGTGGGAGTAGAGAAAGGAGAGATGTGAATAGGTGTTAAGCTTTCTTTTCAAGGAGGAATGAGAATGAGTTCTTCTAAGGACATTTGTCAGTTTCTAAAAATAAAAATAATAATAATAAAATAAACCTTTTTGTCTTTTTGGAAGATATATTTATAAGTTATTTATTCCTTAGCATGACTATATGAAAGAATAAGGTTTTCCTGAAGATGAGGCGACTGAATCGGAAAAAAACCTTAAGTTTGGTGAAAGAGTTGGATGCCTTTCCGAAGGTTCCTGAGAGCTATGTAGAGACTTCAGCCAGTGGGGGTACAGGTGAGTATCAATTTAAATTAAAACTCCTTCACCAAATGCAATGTCAGAAGTATAGCCATGAGGAAGAATTCATCAATGTGTAGTAACTTGGTAACTAGTCTATCCTCATGTGATGCTGTTTTGCTCTAATTTTATTACATATATTCTCTTTGGCATCTAACTCAGTGTAGTCCATGCATTTAGTAGTGTTTATTAAAACATTACAGAACAAATTAATCCAACTTTACTGTGTTGGTGCTGGTGAGTTATATATAATTATATTAGTAAGATTATTATATATAAATATAATTTAACTTTGAAGAAATTATTTAATGATGTGCCTTTATTCTGCCTTTTTGGTTAAGAATAAATCAATTTAGACATGATAATAATAATTCTTAAATTTCACAGTGCTGGAGAGAGGCAGCATGAGATAATAGTTAAGAGCTTAGACTTTGGAACCAGACTGTCTGGATTTCAGTCCCACCTCTTCCCCTTCCTAACTGCTTGATCTTGAGGAAGTTATTCAGTCTGTTTCTACTTTAGTTTCTTCCTCCATGAAATGGGGATGATGTCAGTATTTATGTAGTAGGGTTTCTATAATGATTAAATAAGTTAATATTTATATCTATAAAATGCTTAGGACAGTAACTCATACAGATAGAAGTATTTGTTAAATAAAATACATAAACAGTGGAAAATATAAGAAAAATATAGAACCATAACAGTATTTACTATTATTTCTTTCCCTATGAAGAACTAATAAAATAACGTTTCATATAAGATTGACATTTCATTTGGTAAATGTGTACTAAATTGCTTGCTATTTCTAATTTCTTGTGATTAACTTTTATTAACAAAAATAGTGCAAGTTCTTGTTGCACAAGAGATTTTAAGTGTGTTTTGTCATAGTATTTGATAGTTTTTTTTCTCAGATCTTTAGTTGCTTTTATAAATGAAATAATATGTTTAGGAGATTCCAAAGTAGGTGGGAGTTTTATAAGAGATTTAAGATATATGTTATCTGACTTTTAGGCACGCAGATTATTATAGTTTCTTAAGATCTAAAAAATTAGGCTGATTTTTAAAAAAAAAAAAAAACTAGAATGGACATTTTAAGAAAAACTTTATAGTATTAATTCACATGGCAAGCATTAAGGCATTCTTTGATATATGTCACTTAAAATAGTTTACTGGTGTTTATCTTTAAGAAATTGTTTTAATTCTCTTATTCTTTTTTGTTTGATTTCTCAGTTTCTATAATAGCATTTACCACGATGGCTTTATTAACCATAATGGAATTTTCAGTATATCAAGATACATGGATGAAATATGAATATGAAGTAGACAAGGATTTTTCTAGGTAACTTTTTTCTTGAAATACCGTTAGATTCAAATTGTTTTAAAGATAAGATACCTTTTAAAAAAAATGTCTAACCTTTTTATGGTTTATTTTGGTTCTGAAGAAATAGTTCTGACAGATTCTCATTAATTGCGTGCATTATGTGAAACATTTTAGAATCATTTGAATACTGCTTACATTCTGAAAGGGAGCTTCTTTGATTTAATATGCACTGTATAAAATGGTTAGGAAAACATAGGGTGTTCTTTTTATTTTTGGTATGTGCCCCTAGTGGGAACCGAACCCGGGTCTCTCTGGTCTGCAGGCCAATGCTCCAACTGCGAGCCAAACTGGCCAGGGCTCTTTTTTAAGATGTTGAACTGGTGGGGATTGTTTAATGTCTTAAAATTGTTTTCTCTTTAGATTTTGAAATAGCTTACTGATCTGTGTAGTTTGGTAAATATATATTGTTCAGATATACATTATAGTTGTTTATAACTTGATTTTTATGACATCTAAGCTAAATTTAAATGTAAATAACATCACTTAAAACTTTTATTTTATTTTTATTTTTATTTTTTTTTTATCCTCACCCGAGGACATTTTTGCATTTTTTTGTTCAGACAGAGCAGGAGGGAGAGAGAGGAAGAGAGAGAGAGAGAAACATCGATGTGAACGGACACATCGAGTGGTTGCCACCCGCACGACCAACCAGGGCCGGGGACAAACTGCAACCGAGGTACGTGCCCTTAGCAGGAACCGAACCCGGGTCTCTCTGTACCGCAGGCCGATGCTCTAACCGCTGAGCCAAACCGGCCAGGGCAAAAACTTTTAAAATATAGACAAATGTACTTTATTTGTATTATTTGCGCTTTTATATTGATTGAAAATAACAGATTTATAATAGTAAGATTGTACTAGATAGGGGAGACATTTACTTCTGAATTCCGATCCCAGCTCTGCCATTTACTTGCTGTGGTAAGTTACTAAATCTATATCTGCATGTGCTTCAGTTTCTTTTTCTATTAAATGGGGATAATTATAGTACCTTCTTCATGATGACTAGTAAGTAGTAAATCAACATTTGTAAATTGCTGTGTAACCTTGGGTAAGTCACACAACCAACTTTTTTGGGGCCTTGGTTTCTTCATCTGTAACATGAGTATTGTTCTTGATAACATAGGTTTTCAAGGAATATATTATTTTTCTTATTTTGTTTGTTTTTGGCACCAATAAAGCACTTTATTTTTTCTAAATGGAGTCTTACATAGTTCACTACATAACAATAGTGAGGATGCCCAGAAGCCTGTCTACTTGGTCTTCTCTAGTTCCTACAGCAGTTCCTGGGCCTAATCCCCAGGGCTATTTGGAGCACAGCTTGAACTCGGGACAATTTTAAGACTCTGTGAAGCTCTGAAATGTATTGAAAAATTTTCTGAAGCTCTAAGAATTCCTGTTGAAACCAGATGCAAATTATTAGAGTGAAAAAAGTTTTGATGATAGCACAGGATGAGACTGATGTTGATTGTACTTATTCTGTTATTCATGGTGCTTAATTTTAATATTTGAAAATTAATTTTAATATTTGAAAATGAATTCAGTTGAACACTTCATTTGAAAATAAAGCATTAGTTGAGCCTTTTTAAAAGGCCATGCAAAACTTTAAGCATCAGAGGTTTTTTTCCTGGCAGTTTGGTTGCCTTTATCATATCACACAGACCTAGTTTCCAGTATGCCATTTCAGTGGTTATGTGATCTTAACACTGCCCTAAACACCATTGTTTTACCTACAGAACTGTGAAGCTACCCACTTTATAGGTCCATGATAAAGAATAAAGAAGATAATATTTGTAGGGAATTGGGCATAATGCCTGATCTATAGTATTTATTTGATAAATAGAGGAGAAAGACTTGCAATTCCTAACTCTTGATTTTGGAAGTTTTATTTTATTTATTTTATTTTTTTTTATCCTCACCCGAGGACACTTTTTCATTCTTTGTTCAGATAGAGCAGGAGGGAGAGAGAGAGAGAGAAACATCGATGTGAAAGGGACACATCGAGTGGCTGCCACCCGCACGACCAACCAGGGCCGGGGACAAACTGCAACCGAGGTACATGTCCTTAGTGGGAACCGAACCCGGGTCTCTCCGGACCACAGGTCGACGCTCTAACCGCTGAGCCAAACCGGCCAGGGCAGATTTTGGAAGTTTTAAAGGAATATTCTACATAAGGTTTATGTAAGCAAAGGTTAAGACTTATTTTTCTGAGTTTCTTGAGGTTATTTAATTTAATAAATTACAGGATACTATATTAAAAACTGAAATTAGAAACGCTTTTGGAGTAATTGCAATATAGAATTCTTAATTTTAGAGTACCTTTGTTTTGACCATAAGAAATACTGACTAAGTTCTAATTGACATATTCTTCTTGAGATCCAAGTTTTTCATAGAATTGATTTATATTTCTCATGTGTTGTTGATTACTTGGTAGGTACTAAAGTTTCCTTTTTGTCTTTTAGCAAATTGAGAATCAATATAGATATTACTGTTGCCATGAAGTGTCAGTGTAAGTACACCTTTAACTTGTTGAATCTATATGTATTTATGGTTTAAACAATGGCTAGTAAAAAGTGAAATCCACTGGTTGTATTTTAACTTTATTTTTCCTTTACAATATCATAAAATGCTATTACAGTGCTATTTAATAATGCAAGTTATTTTTCTCCCCAACTTAATATTCTTTAAATTTCTTCTCCAGAAAGAGAAGATTTAACTTGCACATTAGTATAATTAAAATAAAAGAAATTGGAGGACATTTTTGTGAATCAGAGTTTTAGTTTAGGTATAATATCTTTTATTTATTTCTTGTTTGAACTACCGGTTTTTATACCCATCTTCCTCAAGAATATCCTGTTTCACTCTTTCAGTTTGCCAGTCTTTATGCTTATTCTTGCATATTGAAATAACAGATCCAAGTATTTTAGGTTAATAGTGATCTCTTTTCTGTTTTCTTCGTTGGCTTCACTTGATTATATTGGTAGAAGTGAAAAAATGTTAATATATATTTTAGATAATGTTTAAATCAGTAGTGCTCTCAAAAAAATGAGGATGCTTTTGCATAACAGTTGTCTTTTAAATTACCACTTGAAAGGTAGAGACCAAGAATTCAGTAGTTCAGACAATATTTTTTAAAGTGTCAAATAGTATTATCCTAACAATTAAAGAAATTAATTTGGGGGAGATTTTATCTCAGAACAACCTTAAATCTCTTTCTTTTCCTTATGTTAGTGGTTTAAGGAGAAAGAAATACTTTGTATCCAAATTCTGAATATATCTTATTTTTGATGTTTGAATACCATTAGAATTTTAATGTTTTCAAAATAAACTAATTCTGTTGATATTTTAAAAGTCATCAGTAGCTTTGCCTTAAGATTTCTTTTAATTTCTAAAAATAATTCTTGTGATTAATAGTTTGTGTAGCAGCCATTTAGTACTTGTGATTAGTTCTTGCCAGTTTTTGCAAAGCTCTTCAGTAAAGTTTATACCTTTTACCATGAGATGCTGAGTCTTTTTTGTTTGTTTGTTTTTATTGTGCAAGAAGTAGAAAAAGTTTTATTTTTGGAATAATCGCAATCAAATCTATATAATGCTGCTGTTTTAACTTTTAAGTAAGCAATATAGGAATGTGAGTTTTCTGTTAGTTTTCTTAATTTGTTAGTTTATATGTGATATAGTTTGGCTTTTACCATAAAATGAAAAACTTCTAAATTTCTTTTAAATGCAGATATTGGAGCAGATGTATTGGATTTAGCAGAAACAATGGTTGCATCCGCAGATGGTCTAGTTTATGAACCAGTAAGTTTGATTCATATGTTTATTAAAATAACATGTTTTGAGAAATTATTCCCTTAAAAACAGTTTTGATATTTTATTTTGGTTTTTCTCAACCAATTTTTAAAATATATTTTCTTAATTCAAAAGTAATCCATATTCTTTGTAAAAATTTAGTGGGGAAAAAGTTGTATCTAATTTCAAAACCTTGAGATAACCATTGTTAGCATTTTGAATAAGCTTTTATGTCTGTTTTATAATCTTAATAATTTTGTATTTTTGTTAATGCTTTCTAATAGTTTCCTTTTCTCTTAGAATTGCTATAATAATGAAATATTCTTTTTCTGTAATGACTTGAGTATTCTATGTCCTGTTTGTATTCTACTTCTACCAAATTTAAGTCTTTTTAATATGTAGAATCTAATGAACAAAACTGATGAACAAACTAGAACCAAAGGCACAGATGGATACATGGAACAGACTGACAAATATCAGAATGGAAGGATGTGGGAAGGACTGGATAAAGGAAAGTAAAGGGATTAGCTAAAGAACATATGAACATATATGTATAACCCATGGACACAGACAATAATGGTGTGAGGGCCTGGGGACAGGGTGGGGACTGGGTGGAGGTGGGCAAAGAGGGTAAAACAGAGGGCATTTGCAATAGTATCAATAATAAAAAAATTAAATAATCAAAAAAGGAGGTATTTACATCAAACATTTCCTCAGGTTTCATCCAGTTCTCCAGTTTGAAGATTTCTATTGCTGATGCTGTTCCCAGAGCTACTACTGTGATCTCTGAGACATCAGGTTCAGATCTAATTAGATGCAGTCAGAGATTGGAGGAGATCTTTAATTTAGGTGTCAGTCCTCCTGCTGGGTTTAAATCCAGGCTCTATCGCATACTAGCTGTATGGCTAAGCCTTATTTTCCTCAGCTATAAAACAGGGACAGTAGTAGTTACCATCTTAAAATAGCTATGTGGCCCGGCCAGTGTGTGGCTTAGTGGACTGAGCATCGTGCTATGGACAGAGAGTTCCTGGTTAGGGCACGTGCCCCGGCTGTGGGCTCCATCTCCAGTAGGGGCATGCAGGAGGCAGCCTATTGATGTCTCTCTCTCACACTGATGTTTTTATCTCTCCCTTCCTCTCTCTTTAAAAGAGCAATAAAAACATATTAAAAATAAATAAAATAGCTGTGTGTTGTGTTGATTTCAAGGATAATGCAAGTCAAATGCTTAGCACAAGCTCTGCTATGTAGTAAGTGGGCAGCACATTTTAGCTGCTAGGAAATTTATGGCTCTACTATTTGGAACTTCCAAATGCCTAGAGTAAAGCCATTCTGGGAGTAGTCAGTGCTTCTGGGAGTCCAAACAGCTCATTTCTGGAGCCCTCTTCCTGCCTGGTCTAGGTAACTAGGACCCAAAACCCAGGTGTACAGGTGCTGGTCCTGTTGTTGCAGCCACTACTGACCTCTGCTCTGTGGCTGGCCCTGAAAACATTTTAGCCTGCTCAATGAGTTCCCTGAATGTTTTGAAAATATAATTTTGTAACACACACATACACACACACACACACACACACGCACGTGCACACACACAAGATTTTTTACTGATTTTTAGGGGGAAAGAGAGAGAGAAACATCAATGTGAGAGCGAAACATTGATTGGCTGCATCTTGTATGCCCCTGACTGGGGATTGAGCCAGACTGTGAATTGAACCAGCAATCCTTTGGTGCATGGGACGATACCCAGCCAACTGAGCCACACTGGCTAGGGCCACGCATAGATTTTTAAGATAGAGCAAAAACTTTATGTGATTAGTGCTGGAGAGGGATGTACCTGCCTGTCCTGGTGTTCAGGAGAGCTTCCTGAAGACAGCAGAAATCCAAAATTGTTTAAGAGTTATGTCACTGAGTAAAGGCATTGCAATATATAAAAAGAAAAATGAGCTCTATTTCTCTTAACATAATCAGGAATGAAGCAGTATCTAAGAGGAGAAATGTCATTTGACTGACTTCTTCTACACCTCCATTTATCAAAGCGTAGTGAAATACTAAGTCTCATTGTTTTTATGAAACAAAGTGTGTGTATTATCATTGATTTATCTGAAATCACCATCATATTACAGGGGCAGGTATAACATTACAAGGGCTGATAACAAGTCATGACTAGAGAACTATAGAGAATACAGCTTGGAAATCCCAGTTATTTGAGTTGCTGACTGCTCTGTTGGCATTGTGGTATTTATGTTTACCATGCATTCTTGAGTTCTTTTGTCTACCATTGACCCTGTGAACCTTTCTTTAAGCAAAATTGCAAAGTGAAGACTAAAGATGCTAGAGAGAATTAGAAGTAAATGACTCTGTGCAGCAAAAAAAAAAGAATTCCTTAGGTCCATTTGATTACTAAATTATATTTAGCTTACCGTGACAAAGTGTATTTATGCTTTTGATATATACTATTAAAAAAGGAATTTCCAAAGAAAAATTTTAGTAACTTTCTTACTGCTATTCTTAACTTCTTTATTTCTAAATCCTGTATTCCCACTCAAAAAAATTGATTTCACAGTAATTTTTTATGAGGTTAGGTATCTTACAAATTCAGGTACCATGTTACTGCATATTAAACTTATCTGGAAATTTAGGAAATTTAAAATGTGCATTACATTTTATACTGTTATAGCAATAATTATTCAACTTTACCACTGTGTTTTTTATTTTTTTATATTCTAACATTCTCAGTTTCTTTATTTTTGTTTATTATTTTGTGCAGGAACTTGAGACTTATCAGGAAGAATATGTGGGTTATGTTTATAAACTAGCATGACTGCCCTTGTCATTTTGCTATTCGTATATGTAAACTTAGTTGAGGATAAAATTAATTTTTGCTTTTTGGTGTTTCTTACTCAAAACTTTATAGACATTCCTTCATTGTCTTCTGGCACATTAATTTTTTCTCTCGGATGTAACATATTTACTTTACTTGCATGCTTTTTTTCTTCTTACTTTTGAAATCAAATCTTTATCCTGTACATTCGAATGTGGATCCCCTTTAGTTTTTAGTTTTGGTGTGGTTTTTTTTTTGGTCCTTGGTGATCTTAACTTTTAAGTATTTTTTGCTTGTTTGCTTTAATGATGTTCAAAGCAATGTTTTTACAAACTGCTGTTTAAAATTATTATATGATGTTGAATTTGTGGAGAGTTCTCAGTATCTTTATTAATTGTTACATTAAATACATATTTTGAACTTGCCTCTAAGTCTGGGAGGTTATCTTGATCAAAAGGACCAATCTTCTTTTCAGTGATTTCATTATGTTTTAAAATTCAGTGATTCTATTTTTCACCTCTAATATATTGCAGATTACTCCATTATTTTCTGTCTTTATGATACTAAATGTCATTGAGAAATAATTAGAAAAACTTAGTACTTTTCTTCTTATTTTTAGGAATGGTATCAGAGAGGAAAATTAGCCCTAGTACTTCATATTAACCACTTCTTTCAGATTAACAAATCTAACATATCCATTGATTGATTATTTTTTTGGTTCATCTTTAAGTTAGGGAAGTGGCCCATTAAGTAATTGAAATAAAGTTATGTCAGTTCTTATCCTCGCTCCCTTTTTTTCAGACCTAGCTGAAAGAAGAAGGGTATATAGTTTAGATATACTATGTTTCTAAGTAAGATTAGAGCTTCAGCTGGTTTTGAAAAAGAAGGAGGAATTCACAGATGGATCCTGGATGGCAGAGTGGTTCACCAGGGCATCCCAAATTTTCTTTTCTACATTTGCTTTAACAGGCTAAGTTTAACAAGAATAACTTCTTTCTTCAACTGGTGTGATTGTCCTCATCAGCAGCTAGGTGTGGCCATATTCTTGCTTAATTTAGAATATTGTCCACTACTCTTTGATCTGCAGGCTGATGCTCCAACTGCTGAGCCAAACTGGCCAGGGCAAGATGTTATTAATATATAATTATTTAAGAGATAATTTTACTTACTTTCCAATTTTTACTCATTATTTTAATATACACACTGAATATTAAAAATTTGACCCTAATAATTTTACTAGGTTTCAAATCATGATCACAAAATATACCATGATAGCTGCCATTTTACTATTATATTTCATTACTTTTTCTATTTAAAGAAAAGAATTATTTTTGAAAATGTGGGAAAGTGAGGAATCTGGCAGAACTTGGTTTATATACTGTCCCTTACTATCTGTGATTTTTGAAAAAAGTTTTCATCCATTTGAGTACCTTCTTTATAGGCCAAAGGGAAAGAAGAACAATAAACCCATAAGGTTGTTAGGAAGGTTAAGTGAGATAATGAATTAAATAGCAAAGTGACTAGCACAAAGTAGGCTACTCAATAGTTCCTTTACCCCCTTGTGCTAAGCATTATTCTAAGCATTTTGGGGAAGTCAAAGGAAGAATCACATAGTCTAAACGTTTTATTCACAGGTAACTAGGGAGAAGTTGCATAGTGTGTTTTACAGGTATTAGCATTCGTGTGCTGTGGTGTGAAAAGGATGGAGAAGCATACTGTAGACAAGTTCAGCAGGAGGAGTAATCAGAAAGATGGGACAATTGAACTTGGAGCATATGGTTTATAGATTTAGATAGACATAAGGATGAAAATTACAGAAGGTTCTAGGTTGGTATAATTAAATTACCAAAGGCACAGAGGTATAACAGTTTGATAGAATGAGGGATTATTCCACTTTTATTAAAAAGAAAGTATGTCATTTGACCCAGTGATCCCACTTCTTGGAATATATTCTAAGACGCCTGAAACACCAATCAGGAGGAATATGCACCCCTATGTTCCTAAGAAGCTCTGTTTACAATAGCTGAGATCTGGAAAGAACCCAAGTGCCCATCAGTAGATGAGTGGATACAAAAGTTGTGGTACATTTACACAGTGGAATACTGTGCAACTGTAATAAGAAAGAAATATCTTTTACCTTTTGAGATGACATGAAGGGACCTGGAGAGTATATGCTGGGCCAAATAAGCCAGTAAGAGAAAGACAAGTACCACATGATCTGGCTTATTTATGGAACATCATGAACAAAATAAACCGTCAACCAAAAGACATCCAGAGTCATGGAAATAGGGAACAGGCTAACAATCCTCAGAGGGATGGGGGCTGGGAGGGGTGGGAAGAGATAAACCAAAGAACTTACATGCATATATGCACAACCATTGGACACAAACATTAGGTTGGGAAAAGCAAGAGTGTGGAGGAAGCAGGGAGGAAGGAAGTCAATGGGGGGGGGGAAGTGGGGGACACCTGCAATACTTTTCAACAACAACAAAAAAGCAACTGTGTAAAGAGAGAGTGTAGTAGGTTAGGGCCTGATTATGGAGGGACAATTAATAAATTGAAAAGTAGAATTAGTATGCTTTGTTATGAATTTGCCTTTATGAAAATCAAAAGTGGGCTTTTTGTTGCAAAATAATGTGGATATTGCCACAAACCATGAGAAGTGTGCATATCTTCCTCTAATTATATAAGTAGCCAAGTCTGATTTTTTTATTGATGAAGAGAGTACCCAGATAAAATTTCTTGAATTATTCCTTATTGATTAATACATTTAAGAGTGACAGTGCCATTGTTTAGCTCATTTAAAAAAATTGTTAATTTCATCATAGTATTATTCCAGCAAGAATATGACCTTTGGAAACTTGAATATTATACTTAAGTTGTATGTCATTTTTTTTGTTTGTTTATTTGTTTTGTTTTTAATTACTTAAAGCTTCATGCTGGCATTATTTAAATGATTTTAAGTCCTAAAATACCATTTCATACATATGATAGATTACCAACTTGTGTCCATTCTTATGAATGTTAATACCTAACAGGAAAATATTTGTGATTAGCAAAACTTCTTTATACTATTTTTTAATAAAAATATTTAAAATTTTTAGGTTGACTTATAGAAGATTAAATATAAATCATGAATGCATGTTTTTAACAACAATTATACATTTGTTTCATGCTCAAAGAAAAATTTAAAAATTTATTTAAAAGCCAAGAGAACTTGACAGTGTTGGTGATTATGTTTTCCTTTATTTCAGGTAATATTTGATCTTTCACCACAGCAAAAAGAGTGGCAGAGGTAATAAGTAAACAAAGTATTGCGGTCCATAAAAATCCACATTCCATTTTGTCTATTGTGACTTATTCATAGATTGGCATATTTCTCTAGGCATTTCTCTGGAGGAAATATTAACAGAATATAGTATATAATACAATCTTTATACTTTCAAAACTTTTACCAGATTTTAAGAGTCATGTTAATCCTATTTCTAGTGCACTTTACATCATGAATACACTTTAGTTTTCATTTAAAATTTTATTAACTATTTAAAAATTTAAAAAAGCAATATATGATCATTGTTTAACATTCAGTTTGGACAGAAAGGATATAAAGTAAAAGTAAAAGCCTCATCATTTCATAAGCCTAGTACTAATGAGTAGCAGTAATAACCAGTTAAATTTCTTATATAGCCATCTAGAAATTTTTTGTTCATAGTTTTCTGTATGTTTTCATATTTATGTAATTTTTTCCTAATACAAATGGAATCATGCCATGTTTGTTCTATAACTTGCTTTTGTTTTTTTATCTAACGTGATATTTTGTACAACTTTCTATGACATATAGCTGCCCATTTAATGAATAAATTATAGTTTATCTAATTGGATCATTATTGATGGGTAGATTGCTTGCAAGGTTCTGATATTAAATCAATGCTCATTGAAAATTCTTGAACCTAATTCCTTATGTGCTCGTGTGTGTGTGTAGTTTCTAGAAATTAAATTTCTCTTTCAGAGCATATTTATTTAATATTTTGATAAGTTCTCATCTCAGGGAAAAAGAAATTGAGCTATGTGAGGTGATGGCTGTTAACTAAACTGATTGTGGTAATCATTGCAATAGATACATATATCAAATCATATGTTGTACACCTTAAACTTATACAGTGTTTTATGTCAATTATATCTCCATAAAACGGGAAAATTTTGATAGATAATGCCAAATATCTTATATGAAAGTGCCTGTTTAGAATACAACCTCGCGAACAGTGGGCAAAGCGAGACTTTTATTTTGCCAATTTGATGGGTGAAAAATGGTATTGCACTTGTTTTAATTCATTATTTCTTTATGAATCAATTGAATATCTTTATGGGTTTTTTTTTTTCTATTTGTATTTCTTTTTTGTGTGAAATTGCTTGTTCATGCCATGTACCCATTTTGTTTGGTTGTAGCATTTTTCTAAATAATTCTAAAGAATTCTTTGTATAATAAAGAAATGAGTTCTTTGTTTTCATTGATTCCCCTATACCTACTACCATAGATTGTGTTTATTTGTTTTTTTGGTTTTCAGGCTGTCTTGTGCATAGAAAATCTTTACCTAATGTAAGATTATTACAAAAACATATTTTTACCCATCTTTTTATTTTTATTTTATTATTATTATTTTTTTAATCCTCATCCGAGGACATTTTTCCATTTTTTGTACAGATAGAGTGGGAGGCAGAGAGAGGAAGAGAGAGAGAGGGAAACATCGATGTGAAAGGGACACATCGAGTGGCTGCCACCCGCACGACCAACCAGGGCCGGGGACAAACTGCAACCGAGGTACATGCCCTTAGCGGGAACCGAACCCGGGTCTCTCCGGACCGCAGGCGGACGCTCTAACCGCTGAGCCAAACCGGCCAGGGCTACCCATCTTTTTAAAATGTTCTTATTCAAAGGGCTTTTTCTTTTAAATTCCAGTTTTACTATTTGGGGAGATTTTAAAATTAAACTTGAAATCAAGTAGTTGAACAAAAGGACTGAGTAGTAGATGTTTCTTGGGTTCTAGTGATTTTAGTAGAAAGCCATCTAGAGATGAAATACATTACTTAAATCTAGAAATATTTTTTTTTTTATTTTTATTTTTTTTATATGAATTTTTATTTATTTTTTTGTTACAGATATTTTACCTTTTTACCCCATTGGCACCCCCCACCCCCACCCCTCCACCCTGTCCCCGGCTTAGTTGTCCATGTCCATTGGTCATGCATACATGCATATAAGTTCGGTGGTTTATCTCTTCCCACCCCCCCACCCCCATCCCCTCTTCTGAGGGATGTCAGTCTGTGCCCTACTTCCATGTGTCTCGGTCTACTGTATTCCTCAGACTGTTATGTTCATTATATTTCGTATATAAGTGAGATCATGTGGTATTTGTCTTTTTCTGCTTGGCTTCTTTCACTTAGGATAATACTTTCCAGGTCCCTCCATGTCGTCTCAAAGGATAAGAGATCTTTCTTTCTTACCGCTGCATAGTACTCCATTGTGTATATGTACCACAGCTTTTTGATCCATTCGTCTACTGGTGGACACTTGGGCTGTTTCCAGATCTTAGCTATTGTAAATAGTGCTGCTATGAACATGGGGGTACATATATTCTTCCTGATTGGTGTTTCAGGCTTCTTAGGGTATATTCCCAGCAGTGGGATCACTGGGTCAAATGGAAGTTCAATTTTTAATTTTTTGAGGTAGCACCATATTGTTTTCCATAGCGGCTGCACCAGTCTGCATTCCCACCAGCAGTGTATTAGAGTCCCCTTTTCTCCACACCCTCGCCAACACTTGTTGTTTGATGTAAATCTAGAAATATTAAAGTGAGAATCACCTTTCATCTGGAATTTCATTCAAGCTGTAATAGGTGGAAGCAGAGATTGAATTTTTACTAAGAAAATGTTAGTCATATGCCATCATAGAGTTTCCTGTGTACCTTCATTTATGGAATATAAGCTTGGATATTTATTGGTATATTTGAGATAGACCCCTGTGTATAGTTTGGTTGTCATCGCCTTTTCCCACTGCCTAGCACTAAATGTTGAACTCTGGAAATAGCAAGACACAAAAATATGAAGCTTTCAATTTCTGCTAGCATTATATCCAAAGATTTTAGTCTTTACATGTATAAATCTGAAGATGGGATCTGGGTTTTTGAATATTCCTACAAAGTGGTGTTCTGCTTCTAAAGAAATATTTCTTTCTTTCTTTTTTAATGAAATGAGTTAAAAAGTTTATTTTTCAATTATTTTTTTAACAGTACATAAGTTTATTCAGTATTTTTCTTTTTATTGAATTTATTGGAGTGACACTGGTTAATAAAATTATAGCGGTTTCAGGTGTACAGTTCTTAAATATTCTTGAATGGACTAGAGCTATTCAAGGCTTAGAATTCTGAATAATATACTTACAAAAATGTACTTTATCATCAGAATTTGCTCAGAGAGATTTAAGTTTTCTCTCAATTGATGTTCGGCTTTCTTAAAATATTTAGCATCCTAATTACTCTCTCTCCTGTAGTAGTAAATCTTAATCCCTGGATATAACCTTTCTAATTTCTACTTTTTATTTCTATATTTAAGATCAATTCTGAACTAAATTTACAGTCTAAAAATGACTGGTTATTTTAAATAGTCCTGTTTTACCAGTGTTTTTGGTTGAAGGTGCATACGTATTTTATCTGTCCCTTACAGTTCTAGAAAATATTTATATTATCATTATGATGGAATGTAAAATGTTATCAGATTGACATTTGCTTCCTTTATTAAGTGCCTGTATTTGTTTATAATTTTTCTCAAATTTTATTTTAAAAATTTATTTTTTAGAGTAATTTTTGGTTCACAGCAAAATTCAGCAAAAAGTACAGAGTTCCCAAATACCTTCTGCCCACATATGTGCACAGCCTTCACCATTATCAACATTTTGACACTGGAGTGCTACATTTCATACAGTCTTTGAACCCACATTGACACATCATTATCACTCAAAGTCCAAGGTTTACATTATTAGGGTCCACTCTTGGTGCTCTACAGTCTGAGAGTTTTGACAAATGTATAATGACATATATCCACTATTATAATATCTATAGAATAGTTTCATTGCCCTAAAATCCTCTGTGTTTTATCTGTCCATTTATTCTTCCTCTCTGTGTATAATTTTTGTAATTGCTGAGTTTGAACTTTAATACAAAGGACTTTGGATTTTAGTTATTTAAAGATATAGAATTAAAGAAGGCAAAATGGGATTACGCTTTATGATACTAAGTTATTGGTAGGACATAATATGGCCCCAAGGTAGAAATGTTAGAGGAATAGCTTTAATTTTTGGTTTTGCTTGTAACAATTAATTTCATAAGTTTTTGTGAACATAAGAATTTTGTTCAAAAAAATCTTAAAGCAGCTATTATATTCTTTGTTGCTAGGTATATTTAAAAAGAAAATCTGCACATGGGTTCTTAAGTGTACACTTTGTTTTTTACAATCCTCTGCTTTATATGCTCATATTCTTTTCAAAAATTATAGATGGAGTATAATATTTTGTTTAGAATAGTCTTGTCATAGAATAGTTCAGGTTTCTTTGGAAAAGGAGACACGAGATGATATTAAATGGCACTGTGGCCTGGTCTGTAACGAGAAATGGTGTGTGTGCTATGCTTTATACCCCAGTAATCTCCCACTTGAAGTCTTTCAGGTCTGTTATGTAGCCCCTTATTTTTGATTTTTGTATCTGTAACATTTTATTCAATGCCTGACAAAAAGAATTTTGTAATTACTGCAATGTATGCATGAATTCAGATACTCAGATGAGCAAAGCTGGTGCTGGTGACTCAGACTGCATGCTTATTATTGATGGAATCTGACAGTTTTATAATGGAGCCCAGCTGTTACATCTGTTAGCCACTGTACCTCACTCTTTCTGCTTTCAAGGAAAATGACCAAAGAAAACCTGCTACTTTATTTTAGAATAAAGTCCTGTAATAATAAGTGTATGGCTTAGCTAACTCATCTAATTATTGTTATTTTTATAAAAGGGTTGGCTTTCTTTGTGTCCTTCCTGTATTTATAAAATATTATTTGTTTGTGTTATATTTAGGATGCTGCAGCTGATTCAGAGTAGACTACAAGAAGAACATTCACTTCAAGATGTGCTATTTAAAAGTGCTTTTAAAAGTTCAACAGTTCTTCCATCAAGGTGAGGGATACACACACACACACACACACACACTCATACACATTATTTTGTTCATTAGATTCCACATATAAGTGAAATCATATGGTACTTGTCTTTCTCTGATTGGCTTATTTCACTTAGCATAATACTCTCCAGTATCCGTGCTGTTGTAAAAGGTAAGAGTTCCTTCTTTTTTTAAGGCTGAGTAATATTCCATTGTGTGAATGTACCATAGCTTTTTTTTTTTTTTTTTTTTTTTTTTTTTTTTTTTTATCCTCACCCGAGGATATTTTTCCATTTTTTGTACAGATAGAGTGGGAGGGAGAGAGAAGAAGGGAGAGAGAGAGAGAAACATCGACGTGAAGGGACACATCGAGTGGCTGCCACCCGCACGACCAACCAGGGCCGGGGACAAACTGCAACCGAAGTACGTGCCCTTAGCGGGAACCGAACCCGGGTCTCTCCGGACCCAGGCCGACGCTCTAACCGCTGAGCCAAACTGGCCAGGGCTACCATAGCTTTTTTTTTTATCCACTTATCTACTGATCGACACTTGGGCTGCTTCCAAATCATATTTTGTTTTTTTCTTCTTCTTCATTGATATTAGAGAGAGAGGAAGGAGAGAGAGAAACATCAATGAGAGAGAACATCAATTGGCTGCCTCCTGCATGCCCTCCACTGGGGATTGGCCCTACAGCCTGGGCATGTGCCCTGACCAGGAATCAAACTGGCCACCTCTTGGTGCATGGGTTGATGCTCAACCACTGAGCCACACCAGCCAGGCAATGATCATTTAAATTTAAAACTATGCAGAGGTTTTACATTTGCTTAGGAAGAAAATGTCATATTCTATTTGAACTTAGATGGCATGCTTTCTCTTACGTCAATTGTATTCCCATTGTCCCCTGTCCTCTCAAGTGCCAGAGACAAATGGCTAAAGCATGTCTTTGTTGGACTAATTCCTCACTTTCAGTGTGTCTTCTATCCTGGGGCTTAGTCCTTTGGTTAGATTTGAAGAACCATGGAATTTTAGATTTGTGTAAATGTAATATGTGTGTGATAATGATGTAATATTTTTCTATTTTATAGATACAAGCTTTTTTATAAATGCATTGACTTAGAAAACTTCTTTTCCACTTTTGACATTTAGAACATTACCTGAAAATTGATCATTATGGATTAATATTGGTGATACTATTAAACGTGTTGTAAGTAATCCTGATATATCTTGTTGTGATAGGGAAGATGATTCATCACAGCCTCCAGATGCTTGCAGAATTCACGGTCATCTATATGTCAATAAAGTAGCAGGGAATTTTCACATAACTGTGGGCAAGTATGTTCTTTTCACCTACTGAAAATACTTAGACAAGTTGTCAGCTTGTTAAAAGTAAATTATTTGCTAAAATAATAATATATGATTAACTACTGAAGGACTGCTTAAAATATTTTGTATCTGTATTTTTGATTTCTTTAGACTGATGTTTCAGGCTTTAATCTCAGGATAGAGAAGACTACTAACTTTAAATACTACTTCGAAGTAAAAGTTAAACAGTCATGTCATATTTTATATGTTAAAGTAAATGAGCTGTAGGTAAATATGAATTAAAACCTACTTACCAAGTTTTAGTAGCTTGAATGCTCTTACCTAGACATTTCATTACTTTGCTCATTTTGTTGGATTATGTTAGGTTTTTGTTTTGTTTTTCTGTTTGGCAATCATCACCAAGATGTAAACAGTAACTAATTAGAGACAAGTATTTTTATGTAGTTATAAATTCGTAGTGTCTGGGAAAAAGTTAAATTAGGTAAAAATTAAGAAAAAATATTAGATCATCTACCCTCATAAGCAGCACCCAGAAACTGTTATGCAATGGATACTTGGTAAATTTCTGAATAAATAATAGATTCTCTGATCCTATCTCCTTCTCTCCCTTCCTCTCTTCCATCTTGAGTTGTAGAACTGAACAATTCTTCATTGTAAAAGACATTTTTTAAGTACTTGCTGTATGCAGAGCACGGTGCTAGATACTAAGAATGAAACAGTGAAAAAAAGAGAAGTGTTTTTGTCCTTATGGTACTGACAGTTTGAGAGAATCCAAACTTTAAACAGTGAATTGCACTAATAACTTTTTAATTATAGTTGCATTGAACCTATAAAGGTGTATGGCTGATAAGAAACTATATAACGGTACGTGACTTACTCTGCTTGTCAGCAGAAGCTTTATTGAGGAAAACCTTAACAGTGTTCAAACTAGTAGACGATTAGCAATTTTATATATAAAAGAGAAGGGCATCACACTGAGGGAAAAGTTACAAAGCAGAAAAGTGAGTGGCAAGAAATTGTATATATATTGAGAGAGAGAGCACACGCGCATTAGAGTTTAATGCAGGATTATTGCAGTGCTTACAGTGATCAGATCAAACATTTCTTTGTCTTTGTTGTCCCATTCTTTTTAACATTCATTTGTTGTTTTGTTACTGTTGCCAGCACCCCTTCACTTCATTCTCAACTTATAGCTAGAAATCTTAGAATTTCTTGGTATCATACAGGCAAATATAGTTGGCTCAGAGAAATGTAGGTTTTATTACATCATTGGATACGAACAACATCCTACTCCAAAGCTAACTGAAAGGGGGAAGCTCTGACAAGCTTTGTATGAGCCTCCATAATTACGGCCTTTGTTCCCAGTTTCATTTCTCTCTTCATGTGATGGTGCATTCCAGCAGAAAGAGAGGCCAAATGGAAAAGGATCTGGTTTGCATCTTATTCTTATCATCTCTGACATTTTCTATAAACCATTCCTAATTTTTTATATTAGGTTTGTCAAGTTCAATATTGATTTTTTTTAAGATCTCATATTCTCACACTACTTCTCAGGCACAGTATCATTCTCAACTGCATTGTAGAGGAGTAATATTTATTTCAATATGCAAATCCTTGAGCATGACTGTATTAGATAAGGCAGTGAAGCAGGCAGATGCTTGCCATTTATATATATCATTACAACAGCTGCAAATGCAGATGGAAACAGATGTGTTGGCCACTCAGATATTATAATGGTATTTCTGTTGACGAGGTGATACCCTGAAATAGTGAACAACTCCTCATAATGCTATGAACAAAACAAAATATAACATTTCCTCTGTTTCCTGGGAAATTTAATATATATTGAAACTATAACAAAGTACTTTGTATAGATAAATGTAGTTAAGTTCTAGACTCAGATCATTATACATAGGTTTTCACTTGTGTCAGTGCCATTTAGAGTGTTTGGAAATCATGCAAGATGTGGGGCAATTTTATTTTGTGTGAGACTCATTGCCTTGCAATATGCTTTGCTTCCCTGGCTGCTATCCACTAATTGCCAGATTGCCGCCCCAGTGGTTGTGACAACTGAAAATACCTCCCCCCAGTGCCCTCTGATTTTCATCACCTTTCCTCTGCTGATATTTATGTGGAACAATATATCATAGGATATATTGAAAAATAAAAGAAATTCAAATTTCAGTATCCCAAAATAAGTTTTATTGGAGCATAGCCATGCTTATTTGAAGTTGAAAATTTATTTATGTACCAAACTACATAATACCTTCAGTTTTGCATCTTGGTTCACAAAGCCTAAAATATTTACTGTCTGGCTCTTTATATAAAAAGTTTGCCAGCCCCCAGTTTATTAAATTGCTGAGATGAGTAGACTTACCTACTTAAATCATAGGCCAAGTATCTTCTTCAAAATTCATTTTATATTAAGAACACTATATAACTTAGAGAAGATTTCTTTTCAGATTTTAATTAGTTAAATATTTAAATGTTGTTGCTTTAATCTGTTTTCCTTCTTCCAGGGCCATTCCACATCCCCGAGGTCATGCACATTTGGCAGCACTTGTCAACCACGACTGTAAGCCAGTTTCTGACATTTTTTTCCCCTGAAGAGATCCTTGCAAAAAAAGTGGTTTTTGTTTGTTTTAGTGCAGTGCAAGGTGGGACTTTGAAAGTGGACTGTTTTGAAAACAGATATCCATAGGAGGAATCCATTTTCTCCTGTCCTTAAGCTACTTGTACTTCTCTTGAGTCATGGCTTAGAAGTCACCAAGGTTAGAGAGAGGACAGCCTTGGTATGCTTTACATCACTTTGTACACATTTCTGCTCATTTTTATTGATAATGAAGAAAATATATTTGAAGTTTATTTCAGTGTGTGAATCTGAGAATTGACATACACACATGACATATACAATAATCAAATTAGTTTCTTGTAATGATTGTCATTGTCATAAAACTTAGTTTTTAAAGTCTGCTTTAGAGAACAAAAACAAGTAATAAATTCTATTAAAATCAGTTTGGTCCTATTTAGCAGTGTATTAAAAATAGATCTGATCAGTTTGATTATTTGGATTCATGGACATCATCCCAGTTGTTTTAACAACACAATCCTATTACTATGTGATGATTGGGACCAAGAAAAACTTATTTTTGGGGTTATCAGGCTTAGATGTAATATTATTTCTTAGATGTCAATTTGTAGTCATGAATTTTGAGTTACAGCATTTTATCAGAATTTACTTCCCCTTATGCATTTAATTCCCACATATTTGTATGCGTTTTCTCAATAATGTGGTTTTAAATACTATATTATACCTGCCAATTTTAGATATTTTCATCTGAAAGTAGATGAATGTAAACTCATCTGTAATATGTGTTGCAAATAATAATAATTGCTCTACTTAATTGGCTTTATTTTTTGCCTCAGCGTACAACTTTTCTCACAGAATAGATCACTTATCTTTTGGAGAGCTTGTTCCAGGAATCATTAACCCTTTAGATGGGACTGAAAAAATTGCTATAGATCGTAAGTACTTAATGCTTGCTGTTGGAATTTGCATGTAGGCAATTTTTCTTATATCTTTAATATGAATACATTTTAATAACCTTCTTCTTAGCCCCCTTGTAACAGATAAACAGAAAAATTTTTCAGTAGTTTCAGTGGTTGATAACCTTTAAGTGGAGATGTGTGTGGATAGACTTTGTCCTACTAGTGGATAATATTTAAATGTTAAGAAATGAGCCACAGAGCAGAGTAAGAAATCAGTATAATGTAGGCTAGAGAAGGAGTAGAACTTAAAAGCTCTCTAAATATATGTTAATAGGGCATAACCGTTTGTCCATATTCATCAAAGAAAGAACAAAAGAAAGTAGCAACATTCAAAGAAGAATTTTCTTCTTTGTATAGGTTCAAAGTTCTAAAATGTATATTTATCATTTTAGAAACCTCTTGGAGAATTTTGCAAACATCAGAAACCTAGAGTTATTCTAGAATGGTTTGGTTATTAACACTGATAGAAATTGTACATTATAGCACAGATACCTTTTGTTACTGTCTGTTTTAACCTATTCCACCTAAAATTTTAGTTTCTTTAAATATGGGTGGATTATTAATATTCTTTTACTTTTGTAGCAAATAATCTCTTGAGCTTCCTGATGGTTTTTGGTTGCTTTTCCTCTTCTTAAATAGTCATACTGTATGACATGTCCCAGTTAGATGACCTTTTAAGGATATCTAAAACTTCCTGTGCTAGTAGGAATTCAAGCCCTCTGCAAGACTGAAAGTAAGGATTTCATTTTTATTAATTCAAATAGATTTATTAATATTATTTTTTATTTCACTCTTAGCATAGTGTTATAATGAGATACATTAAAGATGGTTTACTTAAAATACTGAACTTACATTCAGGAGTATTTTATGCTTGTATGGGAATGTTTTTACTTAAGGACACTTGATTATACTAAATTTACTACATTTGGAGATATGTGAGTAGAAATTATAAGTTGTATTCATTATAATCTTATTTTTAATCTAAGTATATGTTCATTTTACACAAAAATGCATTAAATATTACTTAAGAGATGATCATTTAAAAACATGTTGGTTAATACTATGTTTTATGATGCTAAAATGAACTATAAATTTCTGTGTAGAAGTGTTTCTAAGTATAAACATTTATTTTTGAAAGGCTTTTTTTAAGTCTACCTGTTCCTAAATTCAAAAGACAAGTAGGTATTCAGAGTTATGTTATAAAATTTCATAACTTTCAGATGAATGTAATTAACTTATTCAAAGCTTTAAAGCAGGTATACACTTTTCCTCTTTAACAATTGTTCTGTTGTGTCTCATTTTCCAAAAAGAAAAAAAAATCAACATTACAAATCTGTTGTGTTCTGGTAACCATCTCCTCCTTGATGTTCTCCAGAAGTTTTGAGGGGATTACTTAGTAGTTACATCTTTAAAACTATACAGATTTGGCCCTGGCCATTTTGGCTCAGCGTTTAGTGTTGGCCGGCGGACCAGAGATTAATGGGTTTGATTCTGGGCACGTACCGGGCTTGCAGTTCATCCCAGGCCCTGGTCTGGGGTCGTGTGGGAGGCAACCAGTTGATATGTCTCTCTCACACTGATGTTTCTCTTTCTCCCTCTCTCTTTCTCCCTCCCTCCCACTCTATCTGAAGATAAATAGAGAAATATCCTTGGGTGAGGATTAAAAAAAAATACACAAAACTGCAGATTTGGACAGATCTAAAACCTTTGGAACAATTTGTGGCGTGCAACAAAATTTCATTCAACTGCATCCCTCCCCACTCCCCTATCTCTGCCAGACTGGTAATTAAGTTATTTAACAAATTTATAGACCTTTCTTGAGTTAACATTAGACAGATAGGTCTTCAGTAGCTGTCTGGCCACAGGTTAAAAGGTTTCCAGTTTCTCCCGTGACGTTTCTTTGACCCCTGCTTGTTATTTAATGCAGTGGCCCTTCGCTCCTCACTTGTGAAGAGATTCCCTTTGTCCTGCATTTTTACCCCCAATTCTGGTGGTCTCACCCATATGTACAACATTGCTTATTGCCCCACCACTCAGTTTCGTCTTTTTTCATAAGTACTTAATACCCAAACACCTTTTTCTCCTAGCACTTTCAGCTTATTCTTTCTATGACATGATAGAATTTATTTGTAAAACACCTAAAACTAAGCACAGAATGAGCAAGTCACTTTACATCAAAGAATAGCTTAAAGGAAGAAACTGAAGACCATCCACAAATGATTTGCCATCTATTGGTGATAGACAAAGTTGACACCTTTTCATCCTAATGTCATCTGTGATAATATTTAGGATATTACGTTGAAATTAATAATGGGAGAACTGGTAAAAAAAACAAAACAAACTGTTGGCTTTTGAAAGTTTCAGTGGTACAAGTAGTAAGAGAAATAAGTGGTGATGTTGAAACAGACTTTGATTTATGTTAGACACTTGTTTAATGCTAGTGTATGCAGAAACCATTATGCATACCTCTCCCTCCTGTCTGCAGTGTACCCTCCCCTCCCCCGTTCAGAAGTACACAGAGAGCAGAGACAAACTTTGGATGGAAATAGAAATTCATTCTTGCCGAGAAAAAAATGTAGACACACAAAAGTATATACTATATACTTCATTTATATGAATTTTTAAAATAGGCAAAACTAATCCATGACAATAGAAGGTAAATTAGTGGTTGGCCCAGGGCCAAAAATAGAGGGGATTGATTATAAAGGGGTACAAAGGAACTTTTTGAGGTGATGAAATATTTTATATTTTGATTGTGGTGGTGATCATATGAGTGAGTATATTTAAAATTGATAAATTTTATTCATGTACACATTTTCATAGACAGCTATTACCATGTGGTGTGAAGAATACCTGTTTTTGGGTGAAACATAGTGAGGCATTATTATCTAGTTGAAACTATAATACATACATCTAATTTTAATTTTTTTAGAATATAGACCTAGAGAATTAATGATTTGTACGATGTAAACTTTTAGTTGTTTAGAATTAATAATTGGTAATATACTGCTGTTTATGACTTGAATTAATCCTAGAAATGCCTAATGATTATATAAATAAGATCCTTTTGATTACACAGTAACCTCAGGTTATCATTGAGTAGTTTCTTTACTTATCTTTCTGCTGTGGTATCAGTTCCTTATATTTATCCAAAGGCTGGCTAATTCAATTTTGTCTTACTTACGTATCTTAAGATGTTAATAGAGACTGAAAATGTATGTGTTTTGTGGTAGTTAGAGTAACTTTATTGTAAAGTAACTTTATTGTAACTTTATTCTTACTAGTTTCTGTACTATAAAGGAATGCTACTTTTAATTTTCATATTTGATATAAGGATGATAATGATTATAAAGGTATCTAAGTTACTAGTTCATCTTTAAAATTTTTTTGTACCTGTAATTTTATTTATTTATTTAAAGTTTATTTTTATTGTTGAGGGTATTACAGATGTCCCCAATTTTTTCCCTCATTGTACCCCCCACATGGTTCCTGGATTATGCATATGCGTTCTTTGGTTATTCTCTGCCTGCCCCCTTCCCTCTGAGATCCATCAGTCTGTGCCATGCTTCCATGCCTCTGGGCCTGTTTTGTTTGTTCATTAGATTCCACATATAAGTGAGATTACGTGATCCTTGTCTTTCTCTGACAGGCTTATTTCACTTAGCATAATACTATAAAAGATGTGTTTTAGAACTTGTTTTTATCAAGTATTAGTATGTTGATTTCATTTATTTTAAAATTATTTGTTAGACATTAAGCCACAAGTAGCATTAAATTTCAGGTTAAGTGTATTTAATAGAAGGAAGATATATTTGATGCTACTAGATTGTTTTGTTGCTACTAGACTGATGGAAATAAAACACATTTTGTTTTTATTCTAGACAACCAGATGTTCCAATATTTTATTACAGTTGTGCCAACAAAACTACACACATATAAAATTTCAGCAGACACCCATCAGTTTTCCGTGACAGAAAGGGTAAGTTAAATCCAACTAATAAAATGCTTTTTTTTTTTTTTTTTAGCATTTTCTAGTTCTAGTGCTACAAAATAGGTTGTAGTTTCAGATGATGCCCTCCCCCATTTAAAATCTGTGGAAATTTGAAATGCGTTAACATCTTATTTTAAGACAATAATATATTAGACCATGGATGTTAGTATGTTGTAGAGCAAGAAAAGAAGATTTTTTTAAATCTAATTTTTTATTGTTGTCATTATTACAGATGTCCCCCCTTCTCCCCCCTCTACCTACCTCCATACAGCCCCCACCACCCCTTCTCTGGCCCTCACCACGCTGTTGTCTGTTTCCATGGCTATGCATATATGTATTTCATCTAATTTTTAATAATGAGGAAACTAGTACAATGCTACAATCAGTTCAGAGTATCTTTTTTAAATCCGGAAGGTTTTGTATTAAATTAGCAAAATTAAACTGCTGATATTCATTATTTTATTAATATCTTAATTTTGTAATGTTTTCTCTTGTGTTGGTATAAGCAGTTTTGTTATTTGCCAACAGATTCTCTGATTTCTGTTACTTATTTTGTAACTAATGTATCTAACCTGGGGCAGACATGGTTATTGTGGCTCAGATAACAGGTTTTGAGGGTTTGCCTTCCTAACCTGTGCTTTGTATTTATCTAATTAGGAAGACAGATGTTCTGCAACCTCAGGGTGGAGTGGCCTTATAAATAAATATGACAGTGAGGGTCAGAGTTTTGGAACTGGACAGTTTAACATTTCTCATCTGTTCTGGGGTCCTGTTTCCTTATTGTGTTTAAGAATGGTGAATATTCAAATACTATTATTCAAAAGAATTCTAAGGTAAAATTTAAGTGCTTTAAAATTTTGCTTTTCTCAATATGGAGTTTTCTTGTCATATTCTTATAATTTGAGATGCCTATGTCCTCCGTAATTATAGAATTTTCCTTATTCTTAGGAGATAAAATACTGAAGATTTTAGGGGTGAAGTATCATGTGTTTATACGTTTTCCCATGGTTCAGAGGGGAAAAAATCAAATATGTATAACTGTGTGTGTGTGTGTGTGTACATGCACACACACACACACAGAGACTAGGTAAAGTATGTGCAAGTATATACTATGCTTTTCTGCACTTCTGTAGGGGTGAGGAGACACCATTTCTCACTGAGATTGGCACCACCTGACCATCAGTATACAAAGTGAAAAGGCTTTGGGGAGACAGGCACACATACATTACTATGGGAATGCAAAACAGCATAGTCTCTGTGGAAGGGAGTTTGGCAGTATCTACAAAATGACATATGTGTTTACCCTTTGACCCAGTAATCCAAGTTCTAGGAGTTGAATCCAAAGATAAAGTAGAAAAAATAAAAAAACGATGTGTGTATGAGGCTATTCATTGTGTTGTTATTTGATAGTAGAATTTCAGAAACGAGGCAAGTGGTACATCCATATGATGAAGGAACGTGCAACTTTAAAAAAGGAGAGAAGAAAAAGATAACTGTATACTGATATGAAATGATCTCCATGATATATTTTATTGATTGATTGATTGTTAGAGAGAGAGAAAGGGAGAGGGAGAAAGAGATGGAAACATTGATGAGAGAGAACATAGATTGACTGCCTCCTGCATGCCCCCCCCCCCCCACTGGGGATTTGACCCACAATCTGGGCATGTGCCCTGACTGGGAGTCAACTGGCCACCTTTTGATGCATGGGTCGACGCTCAACCACTGAGCCACACTGGCTGGCTGGGCTCCATGATATATTTTAAATAGCAAAATTAAATTTAAAAAATAGAATCCCAGAGCATTTGACCATTGTGGGGTGTGTTTGTGCTGATAAAGTGACTAAAATAGTTGTGTTTCACTTTTTTTAAAAAAATGGAGTAACTGGAGGATCAGGGGGACGGAAATAGAGAGGACTGACCTTCACTGGTGCTGCGATCCAAAGGGAATTATTATTAGTCTTTTGTAATATGGACACTCGGATCCCTGAAGCAGCTTTTATCCACATAGGTAGTGATGCTATATTTATAATTTTAGCATGGCTGAATATATCAGAGCTTTGAGATGAATCACTTTATTGGAAACTTGAACAATGGCTTTATAAGGCTGTTATATTAATAGGGGAAGGGGTTTCGTTATGTCCACATAAAATCATTTTAATTTTCCGTGTTATTTGTATTCTAAAGCTTGCATTTGTTACAGCTTAGTCAAATTAAATAGGACCTGACATAAAAGTAATCACAAAGGACTGTGATAGCATAGTTGTTTTGAGCAGTACTAGAAATTCATTAGAAAGTTTGCAAATTTTATTTTTGAAGTGTAAACAGAATGGAATGAAATAGAATATTTTCTCAATGTGCACACTGTAGTAGGTTTATAATTTTAGTTGCATTTCTTTCAAGAAAAAATATTAAACACTGAACCAGTAGTTCACATATTGATATCTTGCAAATTAATGCATTGTCTTTTTTCCTGAACTATATCTCCTGTAGTTTAAAGTTAACAAGAGTGAAATTGTTTTTAAATCTGATCAATTAAATAACAGGAAGTAAATATGATTATTTTGTAAATTATTAGTAAAGAAATAGAAAAAATGTGTCAAAATATGAACTTAGTTTTTATTGATTTAGTTAAAGAAGAATGTGCCAAACAGTTACAAGCTTGAGCTCAACAGAAAGACTATAGATAAAGTGATCTTTTAGAGAAAATAGGAAAGAATAATTTTCTTCTTTTGATTGCTTCAAAAGCTAACCACGCAAAGAATACAGGATGCTTTGATGTCTCTTAATACCTTAGTCTAATAGGACAGCTGGTGAAGAGATTTGGATGTCCCTCTCATATGGTAGGGGTGTAGGGCTTCATGTTGACTGTATGTAAGTAACCAGCTGATGTGAGTCCTGTTTTTCACCTCTTCCTCTCTCTCTTTGCTTTGCCTCTTTAGGAACGTGTCATTAACCATGCTGCAGGCAGCCATGGCGTCTCTGGGATATTTATGAAGTACGATCTCAGTTCTCTTATGGTGACAGTGACTGAAGAGCATATGCCATTCTGGCAGTTTTTTGTAAGACTCTGTGGTATCATTGGAGGAATCTTTTCAACAACAGGTTAAGATTCATTTCTCTCTCTCTCTCTGTCTCTCTCTTTTCTATTCTTTCTTTTCTTTCTTACGTGCCCCTAGCAGGAACTAGACCCGGGACTCTCTGGTCCGCAGGCTGATGCTCCAACTGCTGAGCCAAACTGGCCAGGGCTATTTCTTTTTTGTCTAACTTCTAAAAGTGTTACTGACACTGAAATTAAGATGCTTTTACTTAAAAGAGGCAAGAAATGTACACACTTTTATGTTTTGATACATAGAGTTTTACCTTTAAGACTTTATTCCAGACCTCCAAAATTAATTAAGTGTTAAACATATCTAAGTTCACTGCATTCAGTGAGATTACTTAGTAAGCTAGACAGGTCCTAGAAGTGAATCCAAGTTCCCCCGTTCACATAGGGATAGCCTTGTAGAAATCACCTACCTTTTCTGAAGTTGTTTTCTCATCTATAAAAAGGTAATAATGGTTCCTAACTTGCAAGTGTTTTGTAGGATTAGATGAGAAGATGCCTAGAAATAAATAGTAGACCCTTGAATGTATGGGTTTTTTTTGTTTTTTGGTTTTTTTTTTGGTTTTAACTGTACAAATATGTAAAATCATATCTTATGGTACTTGGAACTATATGATAGTTCAGTCCGTGTTTTTATGATTTTGGCCATTTTGCCCTGACATTATGGGGTTCTGTTAAAGCTGATAACTTTCAGAATTGTAATCATGAACATTTGAGAGTTAAGTACTAGATAACGGAAATAGTTCCTTCTTTATCCAAAACCCCCATTCAGTATTACACAGAGCTGGGTAGTTTATATACTTTGAATTACATTTTTTTAGATGAATGACTAGCTTTTCTTATAAAAGTCTTTGTGACTGCTTTATTTAAATGCATTTAAATTTGTGGTGCTGGTATTTATTTTTCAAAATTATGTGGGTAGGAGATATATTAAGCACCCTTGAAAAAATTGCTTTGTGAAGTTGTGAATTATTTGGTCTTGTGACTTTAAAAAGAAAGTCTTTTAAAAAATTTAACTGTCTTGTTATTTTTAACTGTAGGAGTAAAGAAAACTGCTTTCTTTCCTTCCTTTATCTGTTCCATTATAATTAGTTTAGTTTTATATTCTTACATAGCAATTTAGGAAATAATTTTATTAAAAGCATAATTTAATTAAAACATATTTTTTTTATTACAGGCATGTTACATGGAATTGGAAAATTTATAGTTGAAATAATTTGTTGTCGTTTCAGACTTGGATCCTACAAACCCATCAATTCTGTAAGTGGTATAGTGTAAATGGTACTGATCTCTAACTTATAGTACCGTTGTTAAATTTAAACAGTAACTGTTGGTGCCCAGCAAAAAATTGCCCCCAATAAAGCATTGTGTTTAGAGGAACAAGTAAGTATAAGGAGTAAAACTGATACTCTGATATTTTTCTCCCTAGGTCCCCTTTGAGGATGGCCACACAGACAACCACTTACCTCTTTTAGAAAATAATAAACATTAGCACCTCCCAAGTGAAGGAGAAAAACTTTTCGCCTGAGACATAAAACCTTTTTTAATAATAAAATATTGTGCAATATATTCAAAAGAAAAAAAGTGAATGAGAAGCAGGAATCATACCTATAAAAAAAGAAAAACCCAAACTGAAATTCTATATATGTTGTATCTGTTACAAATGTCCTAGAAGAAAGTATGCAGCTAATCAGTGAATAAGCCCTACAGGAATATTGCTTTGAAGATGACCCCTTCTGATATTTTCACAGCAGATGGGCAGTATCGAAATCAGATCTTGAAGAGCCTGAAGGAAAGGAGTCAAACCACATCTAAAGAAAAGGCATTAATAGTGCTAATGTTTGCGTCCTTTTGTTTTTAAAATATGATGTCAGAATAAAATATGTAAAACATATGGAAAACTAGTCTAGACTTTAAAAAGTTGTGATCAGGTCACATTGCTAATAAAGGTAACAGGAATGGGTTCACATGCTATAGCCATATTAATTTTAAGCCATAATGGCAAGACCATTTATCCAGTAGTTGGTCTTTTGAAGGTAACTGATTTTCTTTAAACTCTGGCTAATGACTTTTTAAACTATTCAAGGCAGGGTCATGACAGACTAAGGTGAATTCTTACAGGGGCAGGTGCATAGGTGCTATAATATGTAATAGAGGGATCATTCACAAATTGTATAGTGGGCACTTATCCAGGGAGAAGAAAGCACATTTTTTAAAAAGATGCTAAATTTTCTAATCTGATCATTATACTGATGGTATACTTTGGGAGCAGGGGGTGAGTAATAATAAGATCCATACAGATGATGAAAATTATCAGTTTGTAAAATATTAAGAAAAAAAGTAGAATATTTTATACATGTTGTGGTGAGTAGGTAACAGGGTAACTTTAAATAAAATAGAAGTTTGAGGCAGCTATTTAAGTAAAACAAGATAATGTCATATCTGAGAGATTACCATATTAAACGATGTCCGTTAAACTGTAAACTGGATGAAAGAGGTGTCTGCATTCAGAGTGTCCTGAATGTGATTGATTCTGTATTAGACTTTGTTGTTCTGGCTTCCTTGCTATTTAAGAGTTGATTTAAAAGTTTCAGACTATAAAAGATTAAAAATAATGAGAGGGAGCTATCACTCAGGTGCCATTAAAAACTTGTTTGGAATATGTGTGCTAGCATCAGTTTTCCTTTTGTAATGCTTAATGATAGAAGAAGCATCAACCAGTCCCCATGGTTTAAATCACGTAGGGAAGCGGGGAAACAAAGATTCCAGGTAAGTACCAAGGCCAGGACTCAAAGACTAGATTTAAAATTGTGAATTTTAGAAATAGGCTGTTGTCACAAGTTACATTTTTTCAGATGGATTTTTTTAAGGTTAAAAAAAATTGTTTTCTTGAAAACAGATGGGACAGTAATGTAATGGAGAGGAGAAATGCTGATAAAACTACTTTGCAGTAAAGCTTATGTTGAATGGTATTTTGCAGAAATTTATAGGCATCACTGTTTAAAACAGTTTATCATTAAGCACCATGAAGTTAACTGAATGATACAGGTGACATAACATGCTTTGAAAGACATTGGAATCCAGAAAATTCTAAATAATGAATGTGTTTTTTATTTATTCAGATATTTCCAATGAAAGACTAGAAACTAATAGAACCTCTCTCAAAAGAAATTTTAACTGGAGAGGATTTGAATTTCAGCTATTTTTAGACTGTTGGTTCTGTGAATCTGCTTATCAGAAAATCCAATCAAATGTCAGGGTTTTTGTTTTTTAATGGGAGGAAAAACAATAGTGATTTAGAATTATTTTCTTGTAGTCAAGATCATAGCAGTTAAGTATCTTTAAAAATTATTTAGGTACTCACATGATTTTTCATTGTTTTCCAAATACCATATTGAAATTTTAATGAAATTTGTCCCATTAAAACTACGAAAGGAATTTATTTAAAGCAAAATCTTGCTTTGCTATTATTGATTTTCATTTTACAAGTCAAGAAAGGTTTTCAGCTGAAATTCCTTGAAGAGCAAGGTCATATTTTTTGGCAATCAAAGTATAAGATTCTGATCAGCTCTTTTGATGGTGGATGATGAGTATACATGCATAGTAAGATGTGTTAGGTGTTCTGATCTCACCAATTGTTGCTTTTCAGTTGCAGAGAACACTGTGCTGACCCACCTATTATGTACTTTGGTTTGTGCCTGGGGATGCCTTTAGCAGCATATCTAACTATTAATTCAGTCCTCCTTTTTATTTTACTAGGTTATTCGTAATATCTACATGTATATAGTTCAGCCTAAGTATTTTAAAAGTTGAGACTGCTAATTATATGAAAAAAATTTTTGAACTGTATTTGCATACATTGGCCCATAAGAAGAGATTAACTATTTAGGCCAATGATTCTCTGCTGCAGTATTTGTACACTTTAGACTACCTTTTGGAAAAGCTTAACAGTATTAGAATTACAAAATTCTGATTTTCAACTTAGATGATTAATAACACACTTTTTTCATACACATTTTATGATACAAAGCACTGAATTTTTATAATAAATTTATGAATGCAAGCAACATTTACAGTCTTTAATACAAAGTTAATTCATAAAATACTAAGATCTTTTAATTTTTTAATGGTAAAGGGAGGGCTATATTATATATATATTCTGTTTTCATGTCTTTGGTAATTTAAGTACCAAAAAGTAAATTTACATGCAACTTCTCTGCTTCAAAAAATTAACATTGAATCTTGAACTTGATTTCAAGATGCATATTTTTTAAAAGATGCATTTTTTAGTGCACATTTTTGATTGTTTAAAAATTAGTTAAACCTGAGCCTTAGGACCTTTAAAATCTCATGATGCCCTTTCACCTGTGCTAAGTTCGTCCCCTTCTAGGTAGAGCTCTAGCAAATCTTCAGTGCTGAAGGGCCTGTCAGCCCGTCTAGAGGGATGGCCATGTGTTCACTTCCTGTGGTATGAGGCCTGGGTCACCATCCGACTCATGTCTCGATTGTAGTTTTCCTTCCCTTCTAAAATACTTCTTTAGTGATGAAATCACTTGGCATTATTTTAAGACTAGAAAACAAACTGCCTTGAATTTTTGTTTTAAGAGAAAGAACAAAACACTCATTTAGTGTCTCAATCCTGAACATACTGACTCTAAATGACACATTATATAACGATTTCTTCGTCCTTTTACAATCATGTGCCAGCAACTAAGCCTCAGTTTCTCATATTTAAGGGTTTTTTTCCTCATAGAAAAACTAGAGCAATCTCTCTCTTTTTTTTTTTTTTTGGTACATGCTCCCAGCAGAAACTGAACCCGGGAGTCTGCTCTGCAGGCCAACGCTCCAACCACTGAGCCAAACCGGCCTGGGAAACTAGAGCAGTTTTTAAATATCACTTGGTTACATTTGCTTTTGCTCTAGATGGAGCTCAATTATGGAATAAGATTGGATTTATTTTATATTTTTCATATTAAATGTGAATGAGTGATTTAAATTGAACAGTTGATTCAAGTCTGGTAGCTTGTTATAATCAGAAAAACATTTAAACATTATTTTTAGCGTCGTTTGTCGACTCTGCTAATGTGCTCAAAGGTGAGAAATGGAAAGCTTTTCCTCGGGTCAGGCGTGAGACAGACAGTGCCCGCCCTCCTGAGTTCCTGAGAATAGCGCTGGAAGTTCTACCCGGAGCCAGCAGGCAAGGAAAAGGAAAAGCATCCAAATCGGAACTGTCATTATTTGCAGATAAATGTTTATCTAAAGGAATTAGCTTAGTTTAACAGCTCCTCGAAATATAACTCATATATGCATTATTGTATGATTCAGGTAAATCTTAGAATGAGAAGGTGCGGGGAAAATATCCATTAATGACAGCTGTGTACTAAAGCAGACCTTCGGCAACAACTCTATGTAATATATTCTAGAAATAATCTGTTGTCAAGCAGTTCTATTAATCGATTTGGTGATTGCCTTTTATTTAAGTTATTCTAGCATTGTCGCAAGTTTCCACTCTCCCCTTTCCTCACCCATTTACAGTTACAGGTAGGAATCAGTATTTCAGATAAAGTAGGGACAGACTTAAAAATGTTTCTGTATCAGAAGAGCTGTTTCTAGCTGTTACAACTCAATTTCAGTTAAGCATCCTTTACCACACTTATTTTATACTCCACAGGGTACTGCCTTCTGCAAGTAAATTACATTCTCAAACCAGCAATGGCTAATTTTATTAATTTTAAATATATATAATCTAGGCAGTGAGCATTTTTCCATACTTCTGTGTGGGCATATGGAACAACCATTACTTTTTACTATAGGTAGTTGCTTATGTTTCTAGGACATCAGATTTGCAATTCTAGAAAAATAGCCATGTGGAAATCACTGTGAACTTCAAATTATTGATGTTTTTGGAAACTTTAGGCTGACCTACCTTAACTGCTAAGTTTATTGTGCGATAACATACTGTTTGGGAAGTCCCTTAGATCAGTCTATTTACCTTGAGATTGTAAATCAGTTATTTAAAATGTTCACCGGAGGTAATCATGTTACGTTAGTATAAAATTGTGATAAATGTTTTTCTGAGTTGTGTGCCCATTTGCCTCAGCTTTCTCTAGTATTTTTTAAAAAAAATTTCTTTATTCATTTGAGAGAGAGAGAAAGGGAGGAGAGAAACATCGATGAGACAGAACATGGATTGGCTGCCTCCTGCATGCCCCGCACTGGGGATTTGGCCCCCAATCTGGGCAGGTGCCCTGACCAGAATGGAACTGGTGATCTCTTGATGCTCACCCACAGAGCCACACTGGCCAGGCACAACTTTCTCTAGTATTAATTACCTCAGGTGGTGACTCTTCAACTCAGTAATATTTATTACTGTATCAGGTATCCAGTGAGTGCAGAATATAGGGACTATCAAAACTTCTTTTTAGACATAGATACCTTTTTTTGTACTGACCATCCTCTTCCCCCTGAAAGTAGGAGGTTCTTTCTCATTGCATTGTATGTATTAGGCACTCAAATACTTGTTCATTGGTCTTGGTTTAAAATGTTTTGTTTTTGTTTTTCATACTGATAACTGCTGTCGCTGCTTAATCACAGGAGAAGCATGTCATTTCTCTAATGCCACAGAACACACTTCAGCATGTAAATGCAACCCTATTCATGGTGTCAGGAAAAGTGAAGCATTCTTAATTTATATTAGTCTGGTAGGTTCTTTGAAAAACTGTATTCTTTTTTCTTAGAGAGAGAGAGAGATCTGCAGTACTCAGCATTTAAAGGTAAAATACTGGAAGAGAAACATTTTTAATTCAAAATTTCATTTAATCAAAAGTGAGAAAGAATACTTAGAGGAATTTATTGAGTGAGTGAAACACAAGAATCAAAAGATAGTAAGTTCTTAGAATTGATGTTTTGTCCAATCTCATTTAATTATATATCTTGATTTTATTTTTACCGTATCTGTAGTTTGTATGATATTTTCTAGTTACATTGATAGACATCTTAAGCTAAAGATCACCAGGTGTTTTGTTTCAGAGCTGGGTTGTCTGCCCTGGAAAGTAATTCCCAGAACTTAGATGAGATTGGGAAAGACATTGCCTTGAAGAATTCCCCCAAAATGCCTTTTATGGGTTCATAAAAATCTCAAGGAATCCTAGAAGCTGCCCTCAAGGCCTTGCACACTTAATTACATGAGTGTACATTGATTCATACCAGTTGTTCCAGAAAGTGAGCATAACATGTTAACAGTCTATGCTCCTGTGATTGTCTAGCAGTTACGATTTTTGTGCAGGCCCCAGAAAGTAGGTTATATTATTAATAGAAATTTGGGAATAAATATATTTTTACTAATTCATTTTCATTATACATAAAATATGTTTAAACAAAATAACACCTATTTTTTAATCTTAGAGTCACTTAATGGAGTCTGCCTTTTCTGCCGTGTATTATACAGTTAACATTGTGCAACTGGAGTGGTTAAGGTACTAGCAAATTCTGGTGATCACGGAGCGTAACCTTCCCCACTTTATAGAAAAGGACTAAAACCAGCCTTTACATTTCTATTTGAAATTTTGTTTTTCCCCAATGGCAATGATCAGGGGACTGGGTTTTCATATAATTCCAGCCTAGGACTTCCTCCATTTAGTCACTAATTGAGGCCTGAGTAAGCTTAAATATAAGGGGTTTGGTGAATGAACGAGAATAGAACTCTTGAGAGAAGTTATCAGGAAAATTGGTGATTCAAAAGGTTTAGAAATAATATTTATCAAATTAAAATTACAAGAATTTTTAGTCAGAAGCATAAGTACCTCAGTCTTAATGCTTGACCCCTCATTCTGTATGTAATTATTTACACCTCAGTTCTTTTTAGGTTTCAGAAGTGGATATAGTTGAGAAAAATGTTAAGTATTGGCCCACTTTCCTGATTCCCCCAACCCTCAACCAGGACTCCGTGGCATAACACAAAGAGGAAACAGACTTAAGGTGGAGAATTACTTCTCATAGCATCTGTGAGGATGCTGAGACATTCTTCCTCCACTTGGATTGATTTTGAACCTTCATACTGGATACCCTAGAATGGTCCTAAGTTAGAACTATCTTTTATTTTTACCATATGTCAGCTTCTATCGTGTGTTCTTCCATGTTTATTGAGTTGAAATTAGTCCTTTCAAGGAGGAGAAAGCTAAATATGAAAAGAGGGTTGCACTTTGGTGTTTTATATTCAGGGGCATAGACTAGAGTGTTAGGAAACAATATGGAAATTTTTTCCCTAAAATATGTATGATTATAGGCTAGGATATGACTTTCCTCCTCTCACTGTAATAAAAAGAAGACAGTTAAGAAATAGGGATGGATACATGACAGCACATTTGACAGGTAATGAGGTTGGCAAATTCTTTGTCACTTCTTATTCTTGAGAACCACAATTTGCTGTTCTAGAGGTATCTGAGAGGTGCCAGATAAATGAAGTTGCCAAATGTTCTTAGACCTTGAGTGGGCTGGATGCCCTAAAGTAGGAGAGGCATTTGTAGCAGAAGCTCACGATGAAGAACCAGACGTTCCGAGCCACCTGGGATCTTGCAATGAGAAGGCGCCAGGCGATGAGGAAGAGGGCAGTGTTAAAGAGGTAGTGAATATTTCGGAGCCTGGGGAGCAGACACGTGACCAAAGTTAAAACAGTGCCAGATACCCCATTATGTTACCTGAAGCATAAATGTGTTTCTTTCTGGCTGTATCAAGCAAATAATAACTCAAAGCTCACGGGTGCCTCATAGCCTTTTGGTTTTATATCTTTTATTTTCACAACATTCTTTCTCAATAAGCAGATTGCCATAACATTGCCCTGACTACTTTCTCTTTCCCATACCTCTCTCTCTATACGTTGACCCGTCTGGCAAGCACGACTGACAACCTTTCTTAAAGGCACTTTGATCATATTACCAAGTCACAGGTGTTCACTGGTTTGTGTTCACTAGAGGATAAGTCCTAAAGTTGTTAACCTACGATTCAAAGTTCCACTCTTCTCAATTTACTTTTTTTCATCCTGACCATTTCTGTATTAAAAACCCTTTGCGTCTACCAGAATGAGACCAGACTGCTATCATTCTTTGCCCTTTAAAGGATTAAAGACACATTTAAGGCAGTTGAAGGACTTGAAGAGTGGTTACGTGGTTTGCCCATGTTAAACAGTACATTCGGGCCTCCCGCCTGTTGGGTATTCGTTCTCTATGTCAGTCTTGATAGGCTGTGGTAGATGAATCAGAGAAGCTGGGGTTCAAATTTGGCTCTTGTCCTTACCAAGTGTTACCGTGAACAAGTTACTTACCTTCTCTGAGCCTATCTAGCTCTTTGATAAAAATGGGACAACAGAAATAATACCTGCCTCAAAGGGGTCTGGTGAAGTCTAAATGGAACAGTGTATCACAGGGCATAGTATACAGGGATGGACCAGTTATTTAGTAAATGCTCAAAAAATGTTAATTTCTCCCCTTCCCTGCTCAAATTTCATGTCTGATATAAAACCAGATACACATAGTAAGCACTCAATAAATATTAACTGACTGATTATGTTTACCTTTTTAAGTGTTGCTTTGCTTCTGGGACCCCAGCCATATCCTCTTTCAATAAGTACTTCTTAATTCCTAAGACATAATTTTCAATGTAATCCAACCAGTTCAATTGGCGCACATCAAAGTTAAATATCTGAAAGGCAAAAAGATATAATGGATTGCCAGAATTGCAAGTCTGGACAATTACTGTGTTCACTTAATGAAGTTTCTTTTACCTAAATGAGTGACAGTAACTTTAAAAGACTTAGATTGGATCTCTCTGCAGGAGATTATTTGAGCTGTTATTTCAAAGGCCCTGATAATATGGATTACCATTTGCCTAGCAATATTTAAACATGGACCAAGCACAGATATTTGACCTTTAGGAAGTCTTGTGAGGGAAATTTAAGGAACTGGTATTAGTCTGGCAAAAGTTAATTTCATTTCAAGTAAATGTGGATTAATAATTTTTAAAAGTGATGGAATAATATGTTAGGGGCCCAAGAAAATTATGCATCATTTTCTTTCCATTTCTCTTACATTTTGGTGGTGTCCCTTGGCCTACATACCTTTCCTACAATATCACCACTTCATTATGCAGATTAAGGCAAACTTTGGGAGCAAAGCCTTGAGGAATAGCCTAGCAAAATGTATATTCTGTATTTGCTTCAGAGGTATTATCCATTATGTTGTCAGTGTGCCATTAAATGAAGCCTTTCAAAACAGTTCTTTAGCATTAAGTGGTAAGGAAAACTTTGCTTCCCTTTGAACACTAGTATGTTTTCTCCTCTTGGACAAAGAATACCATGAAATCATACTTCCATTCTACTTTTCTACCAAAAAACTCAAGAACATGTTTACTGTTTAACAGCAATGTTTTACGTGGGATCTTGTAGACTATGGATGGACATTGTATTTTTTTTATTCTTATCTTTGACTGCATATTTTAATTCAATTTTATTTATTATATGTTTATTGTAAGATATCTCAACTATTTGAGATAATTTTGAGTATTAACAAAGAAAGCAGATGAGAGTAACAAGTTACATAGGACTTCATAGACTTGTCCAAAAGCTGAATTGCTTTCCAAAAGTAATTCTGTATCATTTTGTTTGGATATGTTTGTTTTCCACAGTATCACTAAATACTACTTAGTTATCTATATAAACAGAGGCCTTTAATTTTATTCTATTCCACTTTTTAAAAATACATTTCAATGAAGCCCTGGTTTGGAAACCTGATTCCATATGCAGATCAAATTCGAGGTTGAGCCACACCAGATTTCTGCAGTTAAATTCACGTATTCAGGACTATTACCTTTGCTAAGATATTTTGAAAGCATGTGTCAAATCAATTGCAGGTTTGATTTTTTTCCCATGAAATTTTAAGTTATTTTAGAATAAAATAGTAAAAATGTCAAAAATAAAACTCTAAGCTCAGTACCTTTTGGATTATTTACATGGGTAAATTCCATGGAGAAAAATGCAATAAAGATAAGCCTACACAAAATTAAAGCTAGTTTTTAAAATAATGTACAAAACTTGAGGTTCTTAAAAACGAGCTGGTTTGATCAATCATCCATGCATTTCAAACAGGTGCTTAGAAGAATGTTGTCTATACAAGGTATGTAAACATCTCTGAAATAGCTCTATTTCATGTAAATTGTAGAGGTACTCAGTGATAATTTCAGTTAAACTATCCCTCTAAATCTCATCTGGTTTGTCAATATAACATTTACAGTGTTTGACTTTGCAAATAACCCTTAGGTTCCATGACATAAATTCTAGGGCTTGGATTTGAATCATGCTTGATGAGGCTGGTATGTAGGAGTAAAATCCTTAGCTGCAAGTGAGGCTAGCTACCCACCTAACATTTGCTTTTCAATGTGACTCTACATGCTGTCAAGAATAGGTTAAATCAAGAAATGCTTTTTTTTTCTTTTAAAAATGTTAGTGGAAAAAATGCCAATCAAGAGGGGGAGAATTTTAAAGTTAAATTGAAAACTAATGACACGTTCAGGGAACTCATGAGTCCTTGAGAAAAAAACACGACGAGCATGCACAAAGTACAAAAGATTTCTGTATTTGTGAATTTCAGAATATGCAAAGATTTCGGGGCTTATTGTTGGTGACTGCCAAGACGCTAATGTAAAGAAGTAAATGGCACTGATGCTAGGCAATTAAAGTGAAAGCCTCTTTTGAAAAATGTAAGTCTGAACTGTTGACATCATTATAGGAAGGAAGACTGACAATCCTGAGGAGAGAGGAATACTGATGGAGGGAGGTCTTAGATAGGATAGATAAATAGGAGTGGAGTTTTGCTTTAAAAAGATAAGGAAGAAACTATAGCTTTAGAGATGCCAAATGATTTTGATTTGACAAGAAGAATGGGGGAGAGTTTATGAGCAATAAAATGATTATTTTTCATCAAAGCCATATGCTATGGCTGTTAGGGGGAAGATAGAGGTACACAGGCTTTGTTGAAGAAATAACAGCCATGAGAGTGAACAAAGGATTAAAGGATGAAACACCACTCAGAACAGCAGTGAGGATCTACCTGAAGTCCGAGCACCTAGGTCTCTTACTGACATTAATCTTGTTTTCTGCAGCTGTGTTGACAACATTGACTGATTTTCTTAGTGAAAAATATTCTGTAAATATAACTAAAACTTGATTCATCAGCTTTCCAGGTCAAATACGTCCAAATTCCAAATGAGCAAGACTTTCCTATTGGCTAAGGCAGTGCAGTGCTTACCCTCTGGTCTTCAGGAGTCAGCGTGGACATCAGCATTTCTGTATTGTCTGTGCTCCATTCCCAACTCCGGTTGATGAAATACTCCAGCATGGAAACCATTTTTAAAATCCGATTCATGAGCTTTGTCATCCTAAAGGCAAAGATCAGATAGGAGCAGATGTCAGCACAGCACAGCATGGGGCTTCTGCCCTGTCACGGTAGGCGTGCATGAGAAAATATCTTCTAGAAAAATATAAGGATCATCCCTCCCCCTGTTCCCCAATCCTCACTGAAACTCTTATTCTGATGTTCCTTCCACAGTAACTCTCTACTGAATGACGGGAAGGGGATGAAGCTGGAGAAGCCTGTTCTAGCGGGCATTTAATATCACCAACCCCTCTCCCTCGTCCTCCATCTCCTTGAGAGCAGCAAACCGCCTAAAAACCAAGCCACCCTCAGTGGCATACTGTTCAGTCTTTGAATGCTGAGGTAGACATTTAGAAAACTTATTTCTCCTCTTTATTGTATGTTCTTGGGTTTTAAAAAAATGGATTGATCCAAGGTCTTAGTATATAATTTCTGGGCAGAAGTGTTGACTGAATTGGCATCCACATACCTAATGGCTTATGAAGTACTTCTCTCATTGTATCATGGGAAATTCTTAGGCAGCAGGTAAAATCACTGCTCCTTGATACAAGCATCACAACAGGGTTCCATTTAGCTATCGTTATCTAACATCTTTGCTGTAGACTGAATATTTGCATCCCCCTCAATTCATATGCTGAAACCGATTTTCCTTAATGTGATGGCATTTACAGGAGGAGACTGGGAGGTGATCAGTGCCCTTATAACACATAACCCCCAAGGCTCCCTTGGCCCTCCCAGCATGCGAAGGCTCAGAGAGATGACTGTCTAGGAGCCAGGGAGCCCGCCCTCAGCACACACCCAGGCTAGCAGCATCTGGATCTCAGGTTTCCCAGTCTGGAACTGTGGGAAATAATTTCTGTTGTCTTTCTGTCCATGATATTCTGTGATAGAAGCCCAAATAAAATAAGACATTCTTTATCCACTCTATAACTCCGATGTAATTAGTATGATTTAAACAGATTTATTTTTTAATTCTTAAAATTGTGCAATGACATCATTGTATGTACAGACTATACCAGCATCATAGTGTTTTTTAGAAAGAAAAAATACATTTATTATTTTCAGGTAGAGAAGGTCTTCTTAATACATAAAATACAAAAGCCGTAAAAGAGTAATTCATTTTCTCACACACAAATTTAGAACTTCTTTAGTAATAATAATTACTGTATTCTACACACTCTTATGCAAAGCCCTATAAAATAGGTGTGATTAGTATCTTTTGTTTGTTACAGATGAGGAAGTTAGGCTTTTGACAGGTGAAGCAATTTAGGGCTCATGTGGCTAAACTGGTGAAGTCAGAAATCTGACTCCAAACTCCATGCTCTCAAGAGCTAAATTATATATAGCCTCTCTTATATTATAAAAATGTCATATTCAAAACTAGAAGATAAGAAACAGACCTGGAAAAAATACATCAAATTTAGATTCACACACACACACACGAATTAATCAGGCCAAACCAATAGAAAAATAGGTGAGAAATAGAGGAAGGCAACTCACAGAGGAGAGAACTTGAACGTCTGGTAAACAATGTCTAATGAACAGCTGATGGAGAAGAAAACTTCAATGTCTAATGAACAAAACTTGAATGTCTAATGAATAAAAGGGAGGGCTGAGGACTTGGAGTTCAAATCAAAGTAACAAAGAGATGCTATTTCTTACTTTTTTTGGACAAAAGATTATTTTCACAAGTATTGATGAGAATCAGAAAACATAGATTTGCGTCCTTTATGATGATATAGTAGGACAAATGGACAGAACCTTTGTTGAGGGCAACACATGCTCCAGTCCAGCAACACCACCCCTCAGCATCTTCCCCAAACCCAGTGGCACATTCTACAGAAATGCATGTGCACTGGTATTTGTTTACCTCAATGCAAAACTATATATATATATTTCCATATGTGGTTGGAAATGCATAGATCACACACAAACATACCTGATGAGGGAAAGAGTCTAGAAGGATTCTAGCATTTTCTGGCATAAAAGATTATTTAAAAAATTCCTATCACAAACCAAACCTACCCATTTCCCACAAATATTGCAATTTAATTTCTCATGAACAAAATTTATAAAGATTTTCATTGGGTCCCTTACTCTTGAGTTCTTCTTTTCTACTTACTAAACTTTGCTCTTTATATAGGTCTTCTTCTATCCCTGATATATTTTCAAGTCTTTAGCATTTCTGCTTACAATGTTTAGTTTTTCTTCTTTTCCCATCTTTATGTAAAAGGCCCATACAGATATTTTCCTCACAGCCACAGTGTCCTCTATTCACTTTGTTTAAGAAGAAAGGGATAATTACTGAATTATGAGTTCTTAATAAGTTCTCTGAAAAATTAAGATAAGCTCTACATTGCTTAAGTTTTAGTCATTTGCTCCACTAACAGGGATGAAAATCAACATGCTGAGAAAGACTTTCTCCTTTATAAAAAAGCTAGCACAGAAGGCCAGACTACTTATATTTATGATTCTTGGTTGCAAGAATTGCCCTTGGTAATTATAACAATGGCTCCTCAGACACAACTGATATTCAGGTGAGACACAGAGAAAGGATGGTGCCCCATGTCACACAGCTGCCTGGTGACAGAGCTGCCTCATCATCTACTCTTCACTCTACCCCATTGCCTCGCATTCTTCACTCATCTCTAGGTGGCAGGAAATGTAGTTCAGATTTCTCCCAATCTTTCCTCTACCACTTCCTTTTAGACTATTTAAAAGTCTTCCCTTAGCTTCTGTTTTCTCATTGGTAAAATTGGGATGATGAGAAGATTCTCCTTGGGTCATTGTGAGGATGAAATGAAGTTATGCGTCTTCCCGTGTGTGTGTGTGTGTGTGTGTGTGTAAGTGAAGCTGTTATCATTACTGTACATTTGAAGATTACCTAAAAATTTACAAAACCCCAGATAAGAGAGTTTCAGATGCTTTTCTTTTTGGGTAGATGATTACTTGCTGAACTCATCAAGCAAGTTCCTTCACATTTAACTTCCTTTATTATGATGGAGGATTTTTAAGGTAGAGGTCCTTTGGGGCTTGTCACTACTGTTGCTTTGGTTGTCCCAAGATTTATGTGTGTGTGTTAGATTCCGTTGTCGCCTCTGATCCCCAGCTGAAGGGAGGGCTAATGTCTGCCGGGCCCTGACCTTCCCTGCTGATCCAGCTCCTCACCTGGGCTTCCTTCCTGTGAGTCGCAGGTAGAAGTCATAGAGGATGACGGGGGCCCAGTGGTTGATGGCATTCCAGTACTGGGATGTGATGGTGTTGACTGTGAGGCCAGCATTTGGCCTCCTGAAAGCTTTCTCAAATGGAACTTTTTCGAAGACTGCCAAGACTTGGAATCCTGGGGGGAAAGAGGAGTGACCGGTAAGTGTAGAGCATGCACGCCCATTGTGGAGGACAGCGTTTGCAATGGGTGGAAACAATAAAGAGTAAGGATTTGCTGTGCAGAGTCAAGAATCAATTTCTGAGAACAGTATTAACATTGTATCCTGGCAAGTAGTCACCTGCAAAATTAAACAATGTGAATTGGTTACAAATTGGGTCCTTGAAATCTTTACTCTAAAACAACTTCTAGAGGAAATAGTTTTAATCAGTATAGTGAAGTATTGTTCAGAAAAACTTAAATCCATCATTGGACTCCAAGGTTATCTAGTTTATTCTAAAAGCCCCAAGATAAAACCTAGGGGACTTAGGTCCTTGTTTGGATCATTACTTGTAGAATCATCAGTAGAGTTCCTTAACATTTTACTTAAACCTTTATAAAGGGTTGCTTACACCTTAAACCGAAGGGAGACTAGGCAGGATTCCTCTGTGCTGGTTCATGTAAAATGACCACAGTCCTTTACTTCTTTGAGCGTTCTCCTTCTCCGGGACTACATCAGACTCGCTGTCTAGTCTTACCTCCCGAGTGTTTTTTCCATAATCATAGTTTTCATTTGATTATTACTTAGGTAAAACCTCGTTAAAAACGTTTAATGTACATTTGTAAATTCAATAATTCTTTTCAAAAGACATTCACTTGGATTAAATCTTTATCTATATAGAATATGCCTAAATTCATTATTCAGTTATGATGAAGACATCAGTTATTATGGTAATAGGATTCCTGTCTTACTGAAAATATACTACTTTGAAATCCATGTGAAAAATATATCCCAATACAGAGAGGAGTCTCAGCAAACATCTGACAGGGGAATCTGGCCTCTCTTGCTCCCAGAGGATGCATATGTACGTGTAAGAACCACTAGCAGGGTGGCTACTGCCCATTCGAAGGGGGCCAGGGCCCGCCTTCTACCTCAGGCAGTAGCTCCCGTGGGAATTTGAATAGATCATTTAGTTTCTCTGGATCCCGTATGTAAAAGAAAGCAAACCCGTTAGGTTATTTTTAAGATATTTCACTTTCAACTCTGAGATTCTATAATTCCATAAAACAGTAAGAATTCTTGATACGAAAGAAGACTATTTTGAATCTCAGAAATAGAATTTAGAGATTTATTTTGATTTCCAAATGTTTTCAGAATCATTTAGATATATAATCTAAATGACTGAATATATGCTCTAAAGAGCTTTGCTGCTAGAGAATTCCATTTAATGTTTATTGAAGTGATAACTTTGCAAATGGAATAGCACAGCTGAGTGTTCTGTATTAGAATTCAGATTCTAAAATATTAAGTACATTTGATTTTTTTCTACATCTAGTGCTTAAAAAATAGCTAGGTGATCTAAAGTTTCAGCTATTGACAAGAAAATCAACTCCTAAACTGACAAAAGAGTATAAGACGAGTTAGTTAATTTTCTGTTCTATGCTGGATTAATTACATCAAGATACTTTCAAGTTTATTCCTTCGTTAAAAAATATTTTTATTGATTTTTTATAGAGAGACAGGAAGGGAGAGGGAGGAGAGACTCATCCATGTGAGAGCAAAATATTGATCGGCTGCCTCCTGAACACCCCCCACCGGGAATCAAGCCTGAAACCTGGGCAGGTGCCCTGATCGGAATCTAACTGGCAATCTGTCCGTGTACCAGACGCCACTCAACCAACTGAACCGTACCAGCCAGGGCTCAAGGTTACTCTTATGGCTAGCTGCATAATTAATGAAGAGTATCACTGACTCAACAACAAAAGTTTCTACTGTTGGACTTTTCTACATCTGCTTTGTCATTTCACACCATCAGGGATGTGGCGATGGGGCTGGCTGTGTTCATGGGAGCAGCGGCCCAGCAGGAGCAGTGTTCGGTCACCGACGTTGCTGGTCATCGCTGACTTCTCAATGGTTTTACTTCTTTTAAAAAATCTCTAGAGCCAGTGGACCCCTTATTGCTTACAATCATGCAGATGTTCCCACACACCTTTCTTTGGTACATTCTAGTTAACTCTTACACATCTACAAGTTGTAATTATTTTATCTCTTATCTCCCCCCCCCCCCCATTAGACTCTAAGCTCCACGACACTTTGTCTAATATTTCCCTGTGGTAGACACAGTAGTTGTGTAGTTATGTTGCTATGGGCACTCACCTATTTTGCCCCAGTAACAGGGGTTCAAGTTACCGGACGTGCAGTGGTAGACTAGCGATGACTTAGGTCTAGAAAATAGAAGAAAATTTAGATAAATATAACAAAATGGTGAACTAATCAAAGAAGGATAAGGGAAAATAATATTTAGACAGAGTTGTTTTAATGATTCCCATGAGTAAGGCAACCTAAGAAATTCCTTCTGTTCCTTCTTTGGGTTAATAAGCAAAATGGAAGAAGTCGAGGAAAAGTGTGTGTGTGTGTGTGTGTGTGTGTGTGTGTATGTGTGTGTGAAAGATCTCAAATAGGTTGACATATTTGTGGAGCAAAGGAAGGTGTCATGATGATGAGAAAGCAGATCCTATTTCTAATTTATGGATGTGTTTATTGGGCAAAAATATAGGCTACATTTCCCATCCTAAATCCAGCTACGTCCTGTAGGTTTGGAAAAAATCTAAACGTCTGGCTCAAATAAGAAAAAGTTAATTCTGTTTATCATGTACTAACAGAGCCAACTATATGAAAAACCTCTTTTTCCCCTTCATGTCAGGAGATACCCCATACATGGTGATCTGAACTTTAGGCATTTGTCAGGAACTGAGCAGTGAAATATAAAATATGTGTTCATTTCATCCACTTTGATCTCTTTTGCCTTAACAAAGGTAGCTGTAGTTTAGATTACCATACAGAAAGAAAAGCTTTTTTGTTATCAAGAATTATATGGTTAAATAATGTAAAGCATGTGTTACTTTATGATCAACAAAGTACTAAGCAGTACTTATAAAACAACTCAATGCGTGTATGATGCATATTTGAAACTGTGTAAAATATTGAAACAGACACCCTCTCACATTTGGGGTCTTCTACAATACAATTCATCTATTTTGAAAACAGGCCTAATAGGTTCCCCCTCCCTTATGAGCAAATCTTTGAAAGAAAGTGAGCTGGGCCTCCGCACCTGTGAACGGCTGTGTACCATCCGACGGCCAGGGTGAGATTGACGACTGTATCAACTGGAATCATATCCGCCACAGCCATGGGGGTAGCTCTCAGGCCACGGAGAAACCCTTTCCCAGTCTGCACAGAAAGAAGAACTAAAATATTGAACCAGGTCTTAAGGAACAGCTGGAGCTAAGGCGGATGCTGCTAGTGATCACAGCTACCACTGACTCATGCTTACTAGGTCACTGAACTCGGGCTGACATCTCCCAGCCTGTCCACCTTCCCAGCCACGTTCATCTCAAATGCCAACACTTCTTAAACCACTAGTGAGTGGTCCTTAGGTTCTTTTATGGAGTGAAAGTCCTCAAATTTGTGAGAGGTAATGTATTTAGTTAATTAACAAAAATCAAGAGTAGTTTTTCACATCTTAAAAATTAATTCATAAGACATTTTAAGAATTAACTTTTCCCAAATTTCCCATTAATACTGTATTAGTTTACCATTTCCTTTATAAATTTTTAATTTATTAATTTGAGAGACAGAGAGAGAGAGAAAAACATCAATTTGTTGTTCCTCAATTTACACATTCATTCATTGGTTGATTCTTGTATGTGCTCTGACCAGGGATCAAACCTGCAACCTTGGCATTTGGAGACAATGCTCTAACCAACTGAGCTACCTGGCCAGGGAGTTTACTATTTCTTTTAAGGGTTTTTTTTTTGGTTTGTTTGGTTTTTTTAAATCCTCACCCTGAGGATTTAAAAAATAAATTTTCCATTTATTTTTAGACAGAGTGGGAGGAAGAGAAAGAGAAAGAGAGAGAGAAACATCGATGTGACAGAGACACATGGATTGGCTGCCCCTGCATGACCCCACCAGGGCTGGGGACCGAACTGAAACTGAGATACGTGCCCTTGACCGGAATCAAACCCAGGACTCTTTGGTCCATGGGCCAACGCTCTAACCGCTGAGCCAAACAGGTCAGGAGTTTACTATTTCTTAAATGATATTGCTTTCTGCTAGTGCTTATTAACTTATAAGCAATAGCAGACACTAAAAGTTTAAGAAATACTTATTTTTTAAAATGAATAAAATGCTACCATTTAACAACAACTTTGTTATTACTTGGGAAAAGACCACCCTTATTTACTTTTCCTTTGGTATCTTAGTTCATGTCACAGATCACTGATGTTATACAGATGCAAGAATTGGGAATTACTCATGTTAACAAATAAGTCATGTCAGTTAATAAACAAAAACTTGTGTTTATTTGATAAAATAATAAATTATTTATACCCTGCATATTTCCAGCATTGACTTCAGTGGTTGTCAGTACTTTCTTAGGTTCCTAGTTTCTGTTTTCTTGTAACTGATTTCCCTTCCTTTGGACATAAGAAATCAGTTTGGAAAATATTAGATAACTGAATAAATGTACAGTTTTGTAAACAATGTAATAAAATGCACTCTAGATCATGTTAAAATAATTACATTCTAAGGCAGGTAGAGAACAGAGAAAGCCTGCTAGAAAAATAGAAATAAAAAAAGTGCATCATCACTACCTCTGACAAGTAGTCTTAATTCTCTGTCTTATATTTGCATCTAAATTTTTTTTTCTTTACTGACTTTGGAGATCTGGCGTGTAAGTACTGACATAGTCTTGTGGGGTTTGGGAAAGAGCAGCACATGGCACAGAGCACTGCAATGAGTGAGCAAATGAATGAATGAGGGGACGAAGATGGTTTTTTCATTTTTTTCTTTATTGATTTTTAGAGAGAGAGGAAGGGAGTGGGAGAGAGAGACAGAAACATTGATGAGAGACAACAATGATCGGCCACCTCTTGCATGCCCCCCACTGGGGATGGGGCCCACCACCTGGGCATGTGCTCTGACCGAGAATCGAACCGGTGACCTCTAGGTGAATGTTCAACGACTGAGGCACACCAGCTGGGCTAGAATTTGCAATCTAATTAATCTTGGACTTACCTCTGAGAACAGAGGCAGAGTGTGAAGTATGAGGTTTGCAAGATTTAAACTCAGAGAAATGAATTGCCTTTCATTGTCCTAAAGAGTGGAGTTGTGGTTCTGCTTCTAAAATACGAGCTGTGAAGCACCTGCTCAGACTGGATCAGTCTCCGCGGCAGGGAGACCCGCACAAGGGCTGCTGGCCCTGAGGAGCCATTGACGTCGCTCCCTGTCTGTGAGAGGATTGTTGAAAGTATTTCCTATATCCAGTAATTCTTAATCTGAAATCTTTGCTCCAGTTGGTAGTTCTCTTTCTTGTATCTATTAAGAATTGGTTATTGATGTATTTTATGCATTTATATAATTTATATTTACACACACAAGCTCTTATAAGTATTTTATATCTAATAATGTAATAATCTTTGTGACTATGATTTTTATTGCATCCTGCGCATTAATTCAAGCTATTCATGAACAACGAAAAGGGGAAACACCCCCATCTTGTGGTATGGAGAGGGAACTACAGACATGGTCCTCCATGCTCAAATGCTTTCTAAAAAGAAAACTAAATAGTAATTGATATCACAGTACGTCTGTTTTTCTGATAACAAAATCCACAAATAAAAGTAATTTTGTCTTGCCTCAATTTCCCAATCAGCATAACTGAGATAAGATGCTTTAGTAAAGTCATATTTATAATTTTGGATCAATGAGGTTAAGCCAACACCAAGAATGTTGTTTTAGTTTTTTTTTTATTATCCTCACCCAAGGACATTTTTCCTTTTCTTGTTCAGATAGAGGGGGAGGGAGAGAGAGAAAGAGAGAGAGAGAAACATCGACGTGAAAGGGACACATCGAGTGGCTGCAACCCGCAGGACCCAACCAGGACCGGGGACAAACTGCAACCAAGTTACATGCCCTTAGCGGGAACCGAACCAGGGTCTCTCTGGACTGCAGGCCAATGCTCTAACCGCTGAGCCAAACTGGCCAGGGCAAGAATGTTGTTAATTACTGTCCCTCTACTACATTTCAAGAAGTCATTTCCACATTATTATACATACCGCAATAATGAGACCACTGGGTCCATTTGTGTTATCAACCCAACCCTAAAATAAAGAAGAAGATCTCTATTGATTATACACAGAAAATTTTAATATCTTTGGCACATTTGCGGTCTAATCTTAACACATTTCAAACAGGAGCCCTGAGACCCCAGCCAATATAACTAACTAATCCAGAATTTCTCACATCACAAAGGTCAATGGCAAAGCACTGCATAGTCTCTGCACTTTACTTGTGTAAGAATTAAAATTCTGCCAGGAGGAGTCATGGATAGTCTCAAGTTGTTTTAGTGACACCTTCGGGATTAATTGGACTTTGTATTAACATCATGATCTACTAACCAATTCATCAACCATCATTTTCCTCTACCTGGGGCCTGATTTGTATCCTAGGGGAACATTTCAAACATGATTTGTAGGAACTATCCATCTCCTGAGAATTTTAAGTCCTACCATCCATACTGTCTCTATGTGTTTGTATTCGCTTGCTCAGAGCTTGTGTTTAGGAGTCAGAGGAAAATGCCCCTTTGAATGTGTCTCCTCAGCCCTAAGCAAGTCAGTTGACCGTATTATGTCTGTTTCTTTCTCCGTAAAAGTTAAAAAGCATGTGTAAAACGGGAGAGGAGAGAGAAGGGAGGAGAAGAGGAAGGAATGATGTGCTGAGCCTTGTACTCGGGGGCACTGCTAGGCACTCCCCACACCCCGTCTCATTCGATCGCCTCCGCCAAGGGGCTAGAAACAGCCGGTTGTCCGCGATAACTCAGAAGGCTGCATTGTCAGTAAGTAGTGCAGCTCAAATTTTTCTGGCCCTGGAAAGTCACAGAATTGCTTCAAAGCAAGTGGTGTAATCCAGAGGGTTTTCAGAAGTTTGGAGCAGTTAAACATTATTACTCCTAAAATGAGAACCTTTGTGAGCTTTGTGACTCCGATTTACTCTGGCAGTTGTAATACAGCGACTGTGCCATCCAGAACATTCTGGTATGTTTAAACTATAGTGGGAAAGCGAGAAATAAAACTATCTTCCACGGAAATTTTAAGACTAGAGTTAATGACAAGCTCATCTAAGATCTCCACCCAACTCTAGATCAGTGGGTGTAAGTCCCAGAGAGCTCATGCTGAATAATTCCTGAACCAAATGTGAAAGTTTGCCCTGATATAGTGGGTTTGTGTTGGATTCCCTGCCCTCGTACACCCTGAGAAGAGGGGTTGGGGGAGATTGGGAGGGGAGAGATCAGAGAGTAGTTGCGCTAGAGAGACCCTGGCTCGGAAGCCGAGCAAGGAATCCATGAGCGTGGACTTACTGGGAAAGGCTCCTGCCAGGTTGCGCCCACGATGGACGGCCGCACGATGGCAGTGTTGAGGCGCCCGCTCTCCTGGTGCACCACCGTCTCTCCCAAGGCCTTGGAGTAGGTGTAAGTGTTGGGCCAGTCCCCGATCAGCTTGGGTGTGATCTCGTCGATAATAGCATCGTCTAGCCATCTGAAAGCAGACCGAGGAAAAAGGACTCTAGCAACATATGTTAGACAACAGAGAAGAAGACCCTGTGAGGCGCAGACCGTCAAACGCAACTTCCACTGTCTAGCGGGAGTTCTGGAACGGAGCGCAGCGCTGGGTACCGAGGCGCAGGGTGCACCTGTCCAAGTCACGCGTGACGGCCAGCGCTTGGCTCGCCACTGCCCAGCCCAGTCTTCCCAGGTGAATCCTACCTTCGCCCACCCAGACGGGTAGGTTTAACAGCTATGCAATCTGCTACATTATGACATGTACTCTCCATATCAATGACTTCCTCTCCGACGGGTTCATAGGCACATAGCCATCGAGCACGTTTGTGAGCGCCAGTCATGAGCCGGGAGCGTGCTGTGCAACCTTTACGTCCAGAGGCTCTGGGCGCCCCGCGCACCCCGTCGTCCACTTCAAATCTAGCGCACCAATCTTGCCAACTTCGGCTTTGGATGTTTAGAATTCCATTCAGTGCCTCAACCAATGACAGCAGCTATGGTTGGCAGACTTGTCATCGGTTTTTAGCAAATCTATGAAATGTATTTTGAAGGTCTGTTTAGAGTCTATGCTAATAGCTCGGTCATCGTTTCCAGAGATTTCCAACGACTTCCGAAGTGCGGTAATAACTACTAATAGTCTTTCAAGTGGGGTTCCAGTACTCCCGAGCAGCTCAGTGGTGAGTATTGAATACTTCTGATGGCGAGATATGTAGCACAAACAACTGAGTTACCATGACATCAGCCTAATCTTTTCTTTAAAGGTGTCAGAACTATTTTGATCATCTCAGAGTCCATCAGTAGTTCTTGCAAAGAGCAATAAAATCACTGTCAATTAAATATTTCATGTTTCTCTTTGCTGGCAGATCTATTTGATCAAACTTTTTTTTTCTTTATTTCTATTGTTAACACTATTTCAGATGTCCCCATTCCTCACCTTTGCTCAGCCCCCACCCCCCTTCCCTCTGGCCATCACCACTTGTTATGATTTTTTAAAATTAAGTGACATGCTGTGTTAGTGTGGTTTGATACATGTATTCCTATCTTATAGAAGTGAGCTCAGGCATACTACTTTGATTGTAGAAAAACCCTAGATAATACCACTTTGCTCCCATTACACATTGTCGAGCATTTAACATGTTTTTGCCAAGACTTATTCAGAAACACCACTCTCCATTTTCACACCCCTCATTGGATGTTGGAGTGGAATATGAACATCATCTATAATGTTTGGTTTTTCTCATCGCTCCTACTAGTGCTAAATGTTTTCTAGATAATCAAATGCCTTTTAATATATATATGTGTGTGTGTATATATATATATATATATATATATCACCCGAGGATACTTTTTTCCCCTTAATTTTTAGAGAGAGTGGAAGGGAGGGAAGAAGAGAGACAAAGAGAGAGAAAGAGACATTGATGTGAGAGAGACACATTGATTGGTTGCCTCCTACACACACCCCAACCTGGGCTGGGGATTGAAGCTGCAACCCGGGTATTGAACCTGAGACTCTTCGGTTCTTGGGCCAACACTCTAACCACTGAACCACACAAGCCATGGTATTAATTTAAATTGAATAGGGACTGTTTGAGAAGTTCCCAGAATTAAAAATAACTCCAAATACTTAGAAAAAATAGATATTCCAATATTACAGCCACCTGAGGATTGGAAGAGAGTGTGGGCTAATTCAGATAATAATGTTACCTTTGCCTTATCTTGTTCTGGGGTCCATGGTGCATTAACTAACCTAAGACCATTTTCTTTCCCTGCAAAACCATACAGATTACAAAAACTGGGTCAGAATAAATACAGTCTAATTTCTTTTATTTAATAGCTTTATTGTGATGTAATTCACATAACATTACATTTCACCTATTTGATGGAAAAGTAGCCTAATTTCAATAAAGCTGTGAAGAAAAATATTCTAAGAAAACAGCAGACGCAGCAATGCAGCTGGAGTGTGTCACGTGGCTGGTGCCAGCTGCTGGCTGGAGTGGTCTTCACCAGAAGGGTCCCCCTCAGAGGGCTGACCAAGCTGGCTGAGTTAGCGTCTTAGAAAATGTGGGTTTCATGGGTTTCTAAGGACACGGTTGTAGTGTCCGTGATGGCCTGCCTCTACCCCCGTCGCTCAACCTGTATTCAACTGCATCATCTTCTTGTTTCCCCCATTTTTACTTGTGAAAAATGGCAATAATTACATGCGTGCTCAGTTTTTAGGTTATCATGAGGACAAAGAGAAATATTCGCAACTTCACTTAAAGCACCTAAAACATTCTTATTTTTGGTAAAACCATCAAGGAGCATATATCTACAGAGGCAGTAGTTGGTTTTAAAATGCAGCCAAACAGACCACTCATCCAGCCACTTCCCGAGTTTGCAAGAGGTGAGTGTGGCAAGTACGCACACCCTGGGTTACGGGATGCCCTAGTCGGCATAACCGATTCATGCTCTTCTTTACCCAAGTTTGATTTGCTGCTGTGGTTTGTTCTCCGTCCGTTTTTAAAACAGCAAATAAGTCAGCATGGAGAAAAGGCACACATAAGTCAGAGTCCATTTATGAAGTTAACCAAATGCCCTTTGGTATACTCAAGAAGGTGTTTTGAACCCAGGGGGTCCCATATTCTAAACTAAAATTGATTCAAAAGAAGAAATGAGTTATTAAAGTTTTCAGAAAGCAATGTGTGTGTACCTATACATGCCCACAATTTCCTCTACATATTACTAGCTTTTTGGTTTGAAACTTATTGAATCAACCTCTTAATATCATTCATAACATCATAATGTATGTATTTACTGAGTAAGACAGCAAGAGGAACACACACACACACACACACACACACACACACACACGTTTCCCTAATTCTCTTATTCAACGCGCAGAGCACGCGGCCCGTGTACGGGCGGAGCTTTCCGAGTCCGCACTGGATACGCTGCTGCACAGTGACGGCTGCTCTCTCCTCTCTGCCGAGTTCGTTCTGTCCTCGACTGGCAGTGATGAGGCCATTGCACCTGCTCCGGGGTCTGCTTCCCCACTTTTCAGTGAGTCCAGGGGAGCACAGGGTCCAATCCCCTTCCTGCCCCCAGGAAGCAGTGATGGAATTCAGTGACTGGGGGCTCGCCCACGGGCCGTCTGGATGGGCCACTTCCGCTGTGTGTGAGGTCTGGTCAGCTGGGCTGGGGGGCGGGGGGAGGGTGGCTGGGCTCCCGGAGGTGTGCCCGTGGGACCTGGGAAAGGAAGGGAGGGGATGTCTTTGTAGAGCATGAGGCAGTGGTGGTGGGGAAAGGGTTGAGAGGCGAAAAGTCTATATATGTTGACCAACTTCAGTTTCTCAGTGTGGGCTCCAGAGTGAATTACACGTTCAGTGGGCAGAAGAGGGGTCTAGACGTTTCTGGGCCGAATGCTCGTGTGGAACAGGCCTTTGTGTTTCCTCCTCACGTACTGAGCCCTTGTTCCGGCCTCCAGCAGCCTGACAGCGTGACAGCTGTTCAGCCTGGTGACATTAAAAGTACACAGACTTTTCCATTTTGTGTCAGCTACTCAGATGCCACGTTGAAATGATACAGTCCGGAAAAGAAAAGCACAAATGCTAAAATCACACCCACACCCCCAGCATAGATAAACTGTCTTCCTGTCACCAATGTGATCTTCAGCACCCAGCACACCGTATTCCCACCCTGGCCCCTCTCCTGGCCCGGCCTTTGTGGGGGCTGGGCTGCTGCGGCCCAGGGCAGCGCCCCCTCCCTGCGGCTCGCCCGCCCCAGCTGACTGCTCTGTGTTTGATCAAGAAACACCTTTTCTTTTTCACGTGGCAATTTAGCTGTGCCTTCTGGTGGCCTGGGGGCTTCAAAGGTGCGATTTTTAGTAGGTACAGATCTAACGGGAGCTTTTTATTGAATTAAAGCATCTAGAAATGAAAAGACAGCGGAAGGTGGGGAGAGCGGGGGGGGGGGGGGGGGGGGCTCCTGGATCCCAGGGAAGCCACTGCCAGTGAGAACTGCTCCCCGGGAAAGTGCTTCAGAGCCCCAGTTCCCCAAATCGCCTGCGTGAACAGGACCTACAGGAGGCCGGGTGACCTTCCAGGTTCCCTGGAAGGCTCTCAGAGGCTCTCTTAATTTAATTTTTAGGGCTGATGACCTAATAATCTGACGATTCTTGTGGCCAGGCAGATTGGGGAATCACGAATTTAAAAGAACCCCACACATTTAAGTCATTATGACTTGCATAAACTGGGATTAGGTCTCAAAAAGGCATCGTTCCTTTGAGTAAAAACTTCAGTAGAATGAAGCTTTAAAAGAATTAAATTCCCGGTACTAAAAATGTAAGCTGTGAATATATGCACATTCTAATCTGGTAGCTAATTAAATATGTGTTAGGGCCATAGACGAAGCATTAGCCATGTCTTACTGTATTTCTTCTCCAAATTCGAGCAGGAGTTTTACCTCGGTTTCTAGTCCTCTCCACCACCGTCCAGGCAAAGGGTCTGCCTGCCGCTGGCTCCTCCCCAAGCCTGTGTCTTCCCCGCCATGACCTTATGACCTAATGACCTACTGCTCACTTTCATCCAAGTCTTTCCTTAATCAAAACAAACAACTGACTAAAGTCCCCCCCCACCACACGCACCCACACACACACACACACACACACACACACACAGCCCTCGTCAGTGGATCCCGCAGCCCACAGAGCTGAGTGCAGTCCTCTGCGTGGTGTTACAGCCTCCACAGTGTGCCCCGGCCCGTCTTTCCAGCTTGATCACTAACGGCTTCCCTGCACACAACATGTGTGCTACCAAAATGGCAGGACGTCTGTCTCCCAGACATGCCCAGGCGTGCCGGCTCCAGTCCCACTGCCTAGCCTGTGCCCTGGTCTCACCCATCCTTCCAAGTCTACTTCCTAGGCCCGTCTTCTCAGTCCTCCCGCTGCCTGCAATTCCGTCACCTTGGTGTGTCGCCCCCTCCACCACATGCCATACATAAGTCTGCCCTGCCCTGTTTGCATTGGACAAAGCCACGTAGTCAGAATCACGTGGTTATGGAGGAACTTGTCTCTGTGGCTTACTGGATGAGAGCCCTCCAAAGAGTTTCTTAGCTTCACTAAACCTTTGTCCCCTAGTACAGTAGTGGTAACAATAGCAACCCTCCGATATTACGTGAAGGGATTAACGGCTGAACGTGTCTCTGCTGACAATAATTGCTCCACGGTGATTCACAGCCGTCCTTCCCTTCCCAATGTGTCTACTAGCTTGATCTGAGGATGTCAAAGAAAGCAGTGATATGTACAGATACATTTTTCTAAGTCCTAATTCTAGTTATTTCAAGTTTTTATAAAGGTGCAAAAGCCCTTTTCTCCTTCACTGGCTCCCCTAAGAGAAGTTAGCTTGGCCTGAAAAATATGGAAAACACCAGCCCCGAAGCCCTATCTTTTCTGGTCGGTTACGTGCACTTTATAAAATAGACAAATTGACAGGCTGGTGTGGCTCAGTGGTTGAATGTCCCCATGCACCAAGAGGGTTGCTGGTTCAATTCCTGGTCAGGGCACATGCCCAGGTTGTGCGCCAGATCTCCAGTGGGGGGTGTGCAGCCAATGTCTCATTGATGTTTCTATCTCTCCTTCTCCCTTTCTCTCTCTCTAACATCAATAAAGGAAAAAAAAAATCTAAACAAAATGTCTGTAGTTGTTGGGACGAGGGGAGGAAGACAATGCAGGTGTAAGAGCCAAGCAAAGCAATCAGTTGCTTAGTGCTGATGAATGGCCATGCTTGTCATTCCAACTAAAAGCATTAACTCTTAACTGAGGTTATTAAAATGTGTTTATGTTGAAGTTTTTATACTGCTACAAGCAAATTTTATATTTGGGGAATGGTTCAGGGTCATCATAATTCTGGAAGGGTCAGATATGGGCTGAAGGAAGGAAGCTGAGTCCTGGCAGCCTTGGCTGGGGGTGGACAGACAATGGGGTGGGCTGGAAGGGTGGGCAGGGATGGAAGGGGTCAGGTGGAAGCTCCCAGCCCCATTCCCTTTATTAACAAGACTGAGCAGGATCACTTGGGCTCACACAATTGGGAGGGTTTTTGGAAAAAAAATATAAACTCTCTTATTTTCCAGACTGGAATTCCCATTAAACTGTTTTTTTGGAAAATAAAAAAGTTCCTTTCAGTTTTTCATGGGCGATTTTCTTTCTTCTTTTCTTTTCTTTTCTTTTTATTGTTTATGTTTATATGCTTCAGCTCCACTAAGGCAAAATTGACAAACAAAATTGTGAATTATTTAAAGTGTACTTTGCGATGATTTTGTATATGCATACCTTGTGAAAATATTCCTACATCTAGTTAATTAGCACATTTACATGGGTGATTTTGAGATCACAAAGCCCAGAGTATGGCTTTAAGATCTTCCTGTGGCCTAATTCCTGGTTCCTTTTCTTAAAATGAGGACCACTGGATCATCAAGAACAAGGACAGTGTTAAACCCCATGGGTTATTGTTAATAAAAATTTTCAAGGAAACAGAAACCTAAAAATCTTGGGAAATAATTTAATTTTAACCTTAGATCCATTACAAAATACAGAAGAAATCAGAGAATAAATATATATTTAAAACAAAGCAACTAAACCTGGATTTAGGTAAATTAATATTTATTCAGAATAACATTAATTGTATTTGTTATTCTTGAACTTCAGAAATTTCCATCTGATATAGGTTGTTGAAACAGTCATGAACAATGAAGTAGTAGGTGATGGGTTGCTGGGCTTTGTTCAAAGTGTTATCCAAAACACTAACACCTAGGTTTTATTTGAAGTTTAAGAAGAAAAAGTGGGTTATCAGAAACAGGGATACTATTTGATTTTATAGTTGTTTTACACATAAGACTTCACATCCAAGAATATCAACTTGCTATGGAATTCTGTCGTCTCTTCTTGTGTTTGTCAAAACAAACCAACAATCAATCCCCACAGCCAGAACAGTGTGGACAGTGATTATCTAGTGCTGTCAGAGAGTTTCACTCATTCAGCAAATATTGAGTCCCTGTTATGTGCTGGCGCTGGGGAGCAAGAAGGAGCCAGCCACCGTCCCTCCCTTGAGAAGCTTATGGTCTAAAAACAAGCAGACATTTAGAATGAGCATGGGCTACCCTGGGGCCACTGAAGCCTGAGCAGTTCCAGGGGAGGCTCTGACGCCTGAAGCAGAGGTGAAGTCCTCTTTAGGAGCAGAAACATGAGAAGCCAAGGCAGGTAGCATGAGAGAGACGAGTAATTCCTCTGTGTGACTGTAGCACAAATGTAAGGGGAGGCGAGAGATGCAGTTGAACAAGTGGTTCTGAACATACAGTTTTGAATCGATAAATGGTGGTTATGACTTCCCCCGTTGTTGTTGATGTTGTTGTTTTTTAAATACCTAAGTTCCTTAATTGCATTCAAAATGTATTCTGCTGAGATAAAATATAATTTCATTCCTAGTTCTGTTTGGCTGCATATTTATTTAAATAATTGTTCCCTGTGGTGAGCAGTAAATGATAGAAACATACATTTTGTACAAGTGTCAATGACAGTCCGATCCTAAATCATGGAGCAATTACCTGCTTTCATGGGTTGACATAAGCGGGGGAGTGTGGGAAATGCTGAACGCCTGCAGATAAATCAACACCTCCTTGGAAGGTGAGTTTATTCCTCTTTGAAATCTAGGGGTGTCGAGTGTCTGGACACGGTTTGGGAGGGAGGAAATTGTATGAAGTACCTGGAGAAACCTTCATGGTGGGTGAACTGAGGATTTCACGCCTCTCGCTTTTCCCTGGTGCACTCTGAGACTTCGGTGCTGCCTCAGACTGTGCCATAACCTGTCAGGTGTCAGAGGGTCAGCCGTGGACCGAGTCTGTGGAGTCTCAGTGCCAGGGTCTAGAATCAAAGGAAGCCTTCCATTTCCTGGGCATATCAGTATGTAAGCACCGTGTGTACCAAGAGGCAGCACTTTAAGGAGGCAGCTCGCTGACAAACAAATCTATTCCTCCCTAAAAATGCCCGGAGGCTGTAGACATGACCATCCTGCCCTAATGTTGGGCATCAGAGTGTGTTTTCTAGATCTATTCTGACAAACTCTGCACTCTGAGAGGTTTTTTTTCCCCAGTTAAGCAAAGCATGATTTATTAGCAGCTTTAAGTAACCTCCAGGTCCTTTAAATGACTTTCATTTTTCTTTGTCCTGGATATTTTTTATGACAGGTAAAAATATCTATTCTCAGAGCTACAGGAGATAAAAATGTTTGCCCTGAAGGGAATGAACTCTTGATTTAGTCAAAACTTCATTTTAAAGATTATATCTTAGATGGAAATGCACAGTCTTTCATGACATTAAAATTTGGCAAATTCACCGTGAAATAGTCTTATTTTCTCTGCCATAATACTTTTTATGCAGAGTAAAAAATAAATAAACGAACAAGGTTAACTTAGTAAATGGAGCAGAAGAACAAAGAAGCAGAAAGCAGAAACATACTTATGCTGAGGCTGGGGCCTCAGGATAAAGAGGTTCCTGTTAGTTGGCAAGAAGAAAAAAATGCTACATATTCTTTCTCCTGTACAATAGGAAAGTAAGGAAAGTATATCTTGGCCAAACAGGTTAAGAGACTGACTCCTGCCAGATCTGGAAAAAATTCCTCTTCTCTGTTAGTTTTTCTGTTTTAACCTTTTTATTATCTGCTACTGAAAGCCCCCTAACACTGCAATAATTGCTTGTGTTGATCTGTTTATCACCACAACTATAAGATGGGCACTATTATTAGCCCCATTTTACAATGAAGGAACTGAAGCTCAGAGAGGCCAAGGAACTTGCTCAGCATCACAGAGCCAGTAAGTTGCAGAGACTAAAGTTGAACCCTTGTCGGTCTGACCCCAAACCCTGTCTTCTGAACTTTCATACTATACACTATATTTTCTCTAGTGATAATGCTGCGTTCTTTAAGAAATAAGAAACCGCCTCTATGTAAAGTCTCCCCCAAGTACCTGATTCAAACCTAACCTACTTAACAAGACTACACTACTGAACTAGACCTAGGGATGGAAGGAATAGCAGGGACAGGGCAGCTAAAGCTAGCACCATTTCAAAGCACCTTGTTTCAAGGGTGTTCCACTGTGTCACCTCATTAATGAATGACGACAAAGAATCCGTGAGAACAACAATCTGCCCAGCCCCGTCCCCCTCATTTGATGCAACTTACTCCATCGAGTCGATGATTTTTTTTGGCTCCACCGGGCACGGATAGACAACTTCGTCGATGTGCTTCAGGTTACAGTTGGAGAAGGCAGTAGAGAGGTGTATGAAGGCTTTGAGCTTTGGCATCTGACTGGCCATGAGCAAGAGCTTCTGGGTGGCGATGACATTAAGTTGCACAGCATGTCTAGAGAGAATTAAACAGAAGGAAATACAGCTGGCCTGTATCATGCTTCAAGGTAAGTCACGAGCACGGCTTTCAAAGTCCGGGTCAAGCATGCTACAATCGCTGCTCCTAGCATTGCTCTGAAGTCCCAGCCTTGCAATTAGGAAAATAAAATTAACAGATATAAATAGTAACAGATATGAAGGCAGTCACAAACTCAGGGTCAGATTCTATAACTGTATGTCTGGAAAACAAACAGAAGCAACTAAAAAAAAATCTTGGATGACCAGTAAGATAATTCAGTAAGGTGTCCATTTATAAAACTTATGTGAAAGAAAACTAGCTTTCTTGTATAGAAACAACAATTAGAGAATTAGAGAATACAATTGAAGAAAGACACATTCAAAATTCAACATTTAAAAATATTTCAAATTAATAATAAATGAATCGACTCTATATTAAAAAATGATAAAACTCTATTACGGGTCATGACAGAAAAAATTGAATAAATAGAAAGACATATATTGTTCCTGGATAGGAAGAACAAATGTTTTAAATATGTTAACTTTTATTAAATGAATCCACATATTCAAAGGAATCCAATAAAATTTCCAACCCTTTGAAAAACCTGGCAAAAATTGTATGTTTAATCCAGAAGTATAAGCAGGTGAGAATAGTCAAGAACATCCTATTTAAAAAGAACGATGTGTGTATACTTGCCTAATAAAATAAAAATTGCAGTAATGAAAATACTATGATGTAGAAAGAGAAAAGTCTAATTAATGAAACTAAATAAGGAGTTAAAAATGAGAATTTAATATGTTTCCTTTCAAATAAAGAGTGAAAATAAACCATTTAATAAATGTTTCAGAAGTAACCATCTGTTAGAAATAATAAAAAAGGTTACTCTGCATTTATATCTACATCACTTTTCTTTCTATAAAACTTTCCTGACTACTCATTCCTCTTTATAGCTAAATACATTTTAAATAGGTCAAGATTGAAATGTAAAAATGAAACAATAAAATACTAGAAGAAATTCAAGTAACTGCATAAATAAGAAAAACAAAGTTAAGGACAAAGGATAAACTGTTAAAGTATTTGGAACCTTATAAAAAACAAAGAATTGCTAAATCTTTCAAGAAGTATTAAAATTTATAGGGAAAAAAATGTTTCAAAAGAAAAATAGGACAAAAACATGGATAGGTATTTTACAAAAGAATAAAGTGTCAATCAACATTTAAATATACAATGCCATTTCCATTATCATGTTGACAATGTTAAAAAGAATTAAAGAATTATAATACAGTATTGTTGTTGGTTTCAGAACAAGCATTCATGGGCATAGGGACAATGTAAATTGATGATACCACATTTTGAAGAGCAATTGAGCATTACATAACAAAATATAAACTGTTTATAATCTGGGCACATTTGATACATATCTAACACTTCCACTTCTGGAAATTTACCCAAAGGGAAGCACTCAAGGGTGAAAAAAACAAAAACAAAAAAAAACATGTATGCACAGAGATGTTCATTGCAGAGTTGTTTACAATAGTGAAAAAATTAAACAATCAAAAAAATGTCCACCAATACAGAACTGGTCGAATATATTACATATGTGTGCAATGGAATATCATGTAGTCATTACATATTATAGAAGAACGTTCACTGACAATGAAAGATAACACAAATATAATTGAGTGGTTAGCAAACCACTCTCGATATGATGACATTTTTTTTTTCCTCACCCGAGGACATTTTTTCATTTTTTGTTCAGATAGAGTGGGAAGGAGGGAGAGAGAGAGAGAGAGAGAAACATCGACGTGAAAGGGACACATGGAGTGGCCGCCACCTGCACAACCAACCAGGGCCAGGGACAAACCACAACCGAGGCACGTGCCCTTAGCGGGAACTGAACCCAGTCTCTCTGGACCGCAGGTCGACGCTCCAATCACTGAGCCAAACCGGCCAGGGCTTGATATGATGACATTTTAATAAATTTGAACATACATCTGTTTTATTATGGATGCATAAAGAAAAATTGGAATGAATGTTCTCCACAATACTAAATGGTTAGCTCCAGAATGTGAGGTTTTGGAGTTTTATTCCTTTGTATTTTTCTCACTAAGAATATCATTTTGTTAAAAGCAGAAACCATAAAGAAACTTGCACACGAGTACGCACAGCTGTGAGAGGGGAACAGGAAGTACCTCAGATGGTCATCAAAGCGCACGGTGGCAGCACAGTGGAAGATGATGTCTGTGCAGGACAGGAGCTCCTGCATGTCCTCCTTGCTGATGGCCAGGTCACTGTGGTTGAGGTCTGATTTGATGGCTCTGATCTTCTCATGCACATTTGGACAGACTTCTTTGACTTTCTCAAACAGCTAAAACATAAATATAAATCCATATACAAAGATCAGCATCACCATCACCTGTTCTTGTTCTCACTGACTTGTTCCATTATAATTCTCAAAAACTGGTTTTAGTTGTAAGGTCACTCAGAGAAGGTATCTCTCCTCAAGAGCCATTTGCTTAATTTCATGCAATTCAAAGTCAGTTTGGTGTAATTCCTGCTCCTCATAATTTGATAAAGATTTGAAAAAGTCAGTTCCAACAACCAGTAAAAACTGCATTTTGAACCTTCCTGCAGAGTGAGTGAAAGTAAGTTAAATATATCCTGCCCCATCCCCTTTGCCCTATAAGGCATCTCTGTGTTTATACATGGACTGTTGCTATTTTGCACTGGAAAATAGTGTTTTCAGTGCAAAATTACCAGCCTTTACATAGCCTTTATAAATGATCAGTCTTTACAGAGTCTCATGAGCACAAATTTGAAACAGCTTGTTTAACTGGCCAGATTAACAAGATGTCCTAGCAGCAGAAACATAATTAGAAACAATTTAAGCAAATTTGTAATGGGTAAAACAAATACAAATTTTATATTGTCTCTTTCTAATATAAATGGCAATTATTGCCTAGCAAGATAATTACATGAGCTCATGAACTTTTCATGGAATTGTAATTGATTTTTTAAAATATTCTAATTTAAAAAGGGAAAAGGAAAGCTGCTCTAGCTTTTATTCCAATGGTTCACGTGGATGGAAGTCTCTGCTTCGCCTCCGCACAGAAGTGCTTAGATTACATTGGTGTTTTCCCTGTTGTCAGGAAATGCAATATTAATAAAATGATCTTGGTTCCAACCGATTTTGATAAAATAAAATTTCACTGAATTATTTGTATGATATGTTACTAGCGAGGAAAAGGAAAGTAAGGTTGGATCTTTAGAAAGGTTAATAGCAGAGAAAATTCACCTGTAGTTTTTATCGTGATGTAGTAGCAGAGACAGTCCTAACCCTTCGATGGAGAACGTTTTCATCTATTCCTTGATCTTTAGTAGCAGGGTTCTTATCTCTGTGAGAGAGCTACCCTAGGCTTTTTTATTGGGTAATAAGTAGTTGATCTCAGGTAGTCAGAGGAATCACGTCTCATTTGCATCAGGCAAGGCCACATTCAGAGGCCATCCTGGGAATTATATGAAGGTGATTAGGGAAGGAAATTAAATCCACATATGGCCAAGTTCATGTACTCTGTCTCTAAGCCACTGTTTTTCTGCAAGGTAGGGTCAGCTGTTTCCATGGGGTGTTACTGCAATTCTAAAAATATTCAGAAATTAGGAAAAGTCTTCAATGCTTTATCCACATCTGGTATCAAAATGCCTGAGGGACATTTTCAACAAAGGTCATTCTGGCTCTTCCAGAAGATATTTTACAGCTCTTTAATCTTGATGGATCCTAGCATGCTAAATATGTTTTTCATGGTCAAATGTTTTCCTTCATATAGTTTATCTTAATTGCACAACAAATATATATTGGATTTTTTGGATAAGTTTATCTAAAATCTGTATAATTCCCCCCCCCCTTTTATTTTATTTTTTGTTCATTATGTTCCACAAATGAATAAGATCATGTGGTAATGTGGTGCTTGTCTTTCAATTCCCCCCCCCCTTTTAAATAACTAAATTTGTAGAAGGTTCTCTTTTGATTCTGCACAGTCGATTTTATTCATGAAAAATTTATCTAAGGTTCTGTGGAGTTTTTTGACTTTGACCTGTGATAACTTTTTACTTGACAGCAAGAAGAGGAAGATGACCTCAGTGTCCACCCTTCTAGCAGTGGGTTTCCTCACATATGATGTAAGCTGCTATGCATAGATTTTCTTTTTCTTTAGGTTTTCATGACTCTGAAAACAGAGGATACTTCATACCATGTTGTACCTCAGACAACCAGTGCAGTATTGAACAGCACCCAGATACTAATTTACAACATTACTGCTCTAGGATATAATTACTATTTCAGGAAATGATGACTCAATCTATATTTTATATATTGATTTATGATTTCAAATGAGAGGACATATTTGAATGAACATAGTCCAATTTAAAAAGTCTGAGTTTTCTGATCCAAATAATAGATGGTTGTGGTGAGTCAAAATAAATCAATGACTTAGCTGCATTATATGACATGCCTTGTCTGAATCTCACCATACTCTTTTAATTTTGAATTAAACAACACTTTAAATCCTCCCACATCCTACACAGAGTGCTAGATATTATAGCCGACTGCCATACAACAGGTCAGTACTTTTAGGTGAGTATTTTGCAAGATATTATCCACCAATCAAACTGCATGGGAATCACTAGTATGCATATTAAAAATGTATATTCCTGGTCTCCATGAAATAACCTGAAGAAGATGCAGATAAGTAAAAAATTATTTCATGGATTGGAAGAATCAATATTATTTAAAATGTCTATACTACCTAAAACAACCTGCAAATCCAGTGCAACCCCTATCAAAATTTCAATGGCATTTTTCAAAGAAATAGAACAAATAATCCTAAACATTTTATGGAATCACAAAAAACCTGAATAGCCAAAGCAATCTCGAGAAAGAAGAACAAAGTTGGAGGCATCATGCTCCCTGATTTCAAACTATATTACAAAATTGTAGTATTTAAAACAATATGTTATCGGCACAAAGACAGACACATAGGTCAATCAAACAGAATAGAGAGCCCAGAAATAAATCCATTCATATATGATCAATTAATTTACAATGAAAGTACCAAGAATATACAAAGGGAGAAGGACTGTCTCCTTAATAAGTAGTGTTGGGAAAACTGGACAGCTGCATGCAAAAGAATGAAACTGAAACATCTGATACCATTCCCCAAAATTAGGTTAAATGGATTAAGGGCTTGAATGTAATACCTGGAATCATAAAACTCCCAGAAGAACATAAGTGTTAATTTCCTTGACATAGGTCTAGGCAATTTAAAAAATCTAACTCAAAATCAATAAAAGAATAAAAGAAATAAGTGGGACTTCTGCACAGAAAAGAAACCAGCAAAAAAAATGAAAAGGTAACCTACTGAATAGAAAAGTACATTTGCAATCATATGTCTGACAAGGGACAAATATTCAAAATATATAAAAAAATATATACAACTCAATACCAAAAATCAGATTAAAAACTGGGCAGAAGATATGAATAGACATTTTTCCACAGATGACATACAGATGGCCAATAGACACATGAAAAGATAGTCAATATCATTAATCACCAGGGAAATGTAATTCAAAACCACAATGAGATATCGCCTCATACCTGTTGGAATGGCTACTATCAAAAAGGCAAGAAATAAAAAGTACTGGTGAGGATGTGGAGAAAAGGAAACCCTGGTGCACTGTTGCTGGGATTGTAAATTGGTGCAGCCACTATGGAAAATAGTATGGAGAGTCTTCAGAAAATTTAAAACAGCCCTGGCCAGTTTGGCTCAGCGGTTAGAGCGTCGGCCTGCGGTCCGAAGAGACCCGGGTTCGGTTCCCGCTAAGGGCACGTACCTCGGTTGCAGTTTGTTCCCGGCCCTGGTTGGTCGTGCGGGTGGCAGCCACTCGATGTGTCCCTTCACGTCGATGTTTCTCTCTCTCTCTCTCCCTCCCATTCTATCTGTACAAAAAATGGAAAAATATCCTCGGGTGAGGATAAAAGAAAAAAAAAAAATTTTAAAACAAACCTATCATATGACCCAGCAATCCCATTTCAGGGTATTTATCCCAAAAAAGCAAAAACACTAACTTGAAAAGATATCTCTCTCCCATGTTCATTGCAGCATTATTTACAGTAGCCATGATATGGAAGACAACCTAGGTGACCATTGATGGATGAATGGATAAGGAAATTGTATATATATATATATATAATGGAATATTATTCTGCCATAAAAAGGAATGAAATTTTGTCATTTGTGACAACATGGGTGAACCTCAAGGACATAATCTTAGTAAAACCAGTCAGACAGAGGAAGACAAATACCATATGATCATTCTTATATGTGTAATCTTAGAAAACAAATGCTCATAATACATAGAACAGATTGGTGATGCCAGAGGCAGGAACTGGAGGTTGGGAGAAGTGGGGGGAGGGGTACATTTTAAAAAAATAAATCAATCAGTCCAGCTGGTGTGGCTCAAGTGGTTGAGTGTTGACCCATGCACTAAGAGGTCGCCGGTTCAATTCCTGGTCAGGACACATGTCCAGGTTGTGGGGGCATGCAGGAGGCAGCCAGGTGATGTTCTCTCTCGTTGATGTTTCTATCTCTCTACCCCTCTCCTTTCCTCTCTCTCTAAAATCAATAAAGGAAAAAAAATAAATAAATAAATCAAACTACCAATCCTGTGAGGTAGGTGTTATTATTTACATTTTAAAATTTAGATAGCTGAGCCATACAGAATTTAGGTTCTTGCAGAAGCTCTCATTACCAATAAGGAACATAATCTCAATTAATCCTCAGGTATTTGTATCCCCAAGCCTTTGTCAGCAACCTTAGCACACGGGCGCGCATGCACACACACACAGAGTACATTCCTGGACCCACTAAATAAGAAATTACTGGGGTATAAATCAGGAGTTTGCATTTCACATCAAGTTCTCTAGTTGATTTTAATTGATCCCAAGATGAGAACTACTCTAGTTGGAGTGATACCACAGATAATTAATGATGAACAAATACCATTTCCCTGTATAACTGTCCAGGGCAGCTACAAGGTATTAGTGGTTTTCAAACTGTAGGCATAAGACTAATCTGGGGACTGGTTATGAATGATTTCGATACTCCACCCTCAGAGACCTTAACTTGATAGGTTTGGTATGTGACCCAGGAAGTTCTTAACTAGCTCTCCAGGCAGGTCTGATAGTGCAGGTATCGTACTTGGAGAAACACTGACTCTGAAAAGTCATGTCCATTTAAAGCCAGGGCTTCAATTTACACCTCTGGTTTTTAACTCATCAATTCTTGTTCATCTATGCTTGATGGTGCCCAGTTC